GACAAAACATAGATTTATCGCAAGACCAATGAGTTTATTAAAAGTATGTTCAGGGGCAGAAATATCACTTTTAGTATTTCAAGAGGAGTTTTATGCGCATTATGTTCATGGGAGGTAACGGTTTAATATGTTTGTAAAATTGCATGGATACTACAATAAAGGGCTTACTATCTAAGGGTTAGCGGCGCTTTTACAAATTGAATATTTTTAGTACTGTATTACTGTATTATTTATGAAGCGCGTTAGTTGAGACGTATTAAAGAGTCTAATATTTTATAAGAAATAACAAATTTGGACGTGGGCTGTAAGACATTGCCTAATATAATATTTTCAGTCAGTTTAACTAGAAAGTAGTTCAAAAAAATATTTCGCATTTTAGTAAAAAAATTTGATGTAAGTGCATTCCAACCCAAAGGAGCATCCGCAAAAACCTAACATTGTTTAAATATCTGGCACATATTTTTTTTTATAGAAATGAGGACTGTGACAGTAGTGTGAATTTTCCGGGCCCCCTTGCAACATGTCGGGTGGTGTGTGCATCACAAATAAGGTATCGATAAAAAACTAAAAACTAATAATAATAGTAGTAGTAGTCCCCACAGTAGGGAGTGTGTGCGAGATAAGTCTTTCCGTGGTACAGTGGCGGTGAAAGTCTAGCTGAGAGTACGATGTGCCTGGGTTAGTTTTTGCAACCTCAGAGTCATGCCAAAACGTGTAGTAAGTAGAAGCTAGTCTGTAGAAACGTAGTCCACATATTGGCTAGCATAATCTCAGAATTCGTAGATTTTCAAAAATCTACACAGACTCTTTTATATACGATTATATCTTTTCAGAACTGTGTACAAAAAGCTTGAACACAATGGTGACGGTAAATATCTAGCCATTGAGACTTTTTTATTGAAATAATTATTTTATGGATTAGCAGTAACACAAGTATGTTTGCAGATTTATTTCGGCAAGAAAACGAGTCGAACCGACTACTCTTATCCAAGTTTCTTTCGGCTTTCTTTGAAAGGGTTAGTAATCTGTGGAAAATGATATTATAAAAAGTTTATAAGCTAAAAAATACAGAAGCGAAAATAAAACCTATTTCCTTATTCTAATACAACGCTCTACCCTGGGATTCACTTGATTCAACCGTTTAAGTATATTTGTTAAGATTTTGCACATGTTTTTGAAAACTACTAGGGTCTTAGTCATGTTGCCTTTTTAGAATTTGTCGACACGCACTGTAATTTTCATACAAATTTAGTTTTTGACTTTCTACGTACACTACTGTTAAGGCATCTTGACTAAGCCCTGTGGTCTGTTTTAAGTATCTGTGAATGTATAGTGTACTGTGAATATATTTGTATGGTAGCGCAATGCATATAGATTCAGTATTACATGTCTTTAGTTTGTTCGAGTATTACACATTTATAACACAAATGTATTACATTATTTATATAACTCGATGTGTTGTGCCTTACAGCAATCGTGGTCAGAGACTATATCTCGCAATTATACCTGTAATAGAAGTTTAAACATTCTAGGCTCTTGATGGTTTAAGTTGGGTGGCGATTGAACGTACAATATTAGAAAGGCTTCTAGATGTGGAGTTAACAAACAGAGGAGGAAGCAATGTGAGCACCTTGCTGTATGACATCAATGACAACACGCCATCTTGTTTGGCTTTAACATGGTAAAGTATAAAAAGAACCTATTTAGCTCGGAGGCCCTAAGTTCGATTCACATCGAAATAATATTTTTTTTTTTAAATATTATTTCGAGTTTACAAGCGGTTTACTTTCTATATAAAAATTATTAAACATCAAAACTTCAATCAACTTCATTGATACCTACTTAGTTTTTGTTATATATGCATGCACACCATTTATTTTTATGTTATGTTTATGTAAAAATTGTCATAGATCATTGGACATTTCAGCTTATGGACCTACAGTTGACACATCATTTCAATAAAATAATTAAAGTGGGCCTCTTTTTGTACCTTCCATATTTCCCTTTTGTTTCTGAAATTTAACCTTTGTGTTAGACATTAATACTCTCATAATTCATTACCAACTGTATGGCTCATAGAATAAGAATAGTAAAATAACCGTAAAATTAACTTTCAGGTGGGGTGAAGAATGGACGCTGGCAACATTCGACTGTATGCTATTTGGTTCGATTTTCGTTGGTACTAATAACTTGTTACTTGCAGCTATAACAACAATTCTTATATACCAAGTAGGTTTATAATTAATATATTTGTTTTTATCTTAAAGTATTGTATGTGTATAACATATATGAATGTCTTTTACTCGTACTCTTGTGAGCAAACTTAGCTAGTAAAATAAATAAAATACACTTCATTTGTAGAGTCTAAATTGATGAATGTAAAAATATTTTTCATTGTTTAATTTTTCTTTATAGCAGGTGAAGTTTTTTGTCTAAGGGTATTCAGAAATTAGACTTATTGCGAATAAATACTCGCATATATGTATGTCAAAATCCAGTACGTTTCTGACATACGGAAGTTTTAATTAGGTACCGCTAAGTATTGACTCTGAACCTTACCTCCCCTTCTTTTCTACTTTCGTGTTCTCACGATGTTTACCTTCACTAAGTGTTAAATGCGCAAACTAAAAGAAAAGCCCAATACAGCTCTATTTTGAATGCACGATCATATGATTGAGAAAGCACGTTGAACCAGGCCGAGATATAGGTACTTTTATGTTAAATTTTTATTTAAGTATATCTTTCCAGATGCTGAAAGAACTGCGACTGTGGTTTGGGTCTAGAAATCTCAAGCAAAAAACTGGCGTCAACGTCTAAGTAATGACCGCTACCTTTACAATTTTAATTTTTCAAATAAGTTTCAATCTAATACCAATACCACTTGCTGCTTCTACAGATATAGCCGTTGATGTTTCATCATTGAGATTATCATCTTCAGCTAAACCCATTGGTCCATTCTACAATCTTATTACCAACATTTGTGATGTTCTATTAGAAGACTTTTCCAACTCAAGGATTCCAAGATACATGAAAGTACTTAGCAAAAGTCTTAAACGTTTGGGGTCTGGATTTCTACTCAAATTACAGATAAAACGATTTCGAAAACAACTTTTGAAGCTGTCTTCATACAATGGCAGAATAATTCGACCAAAAATAAAACAATTCCAAAATTTAATTGCAGAGGAAAAACCACTTCGAAACGAATTATTTGTGGCTTTAAATAATATTTTTACTGTGTACCAAGATAACAAAATGGACGATTATATTTATTATTTAAAAAAATTTGGATATAAGAGAAAGGAAAATATTTATGTGAGAACTAGAAGACTTTTTGAAGATGTAATATTTCGTACAATAGAGAACCAAGATGAAAGAGTCAAGGATGATATTAAATTGAAATTTAAATTGGCAGTCATTGAATACATGGAAGGCGAAAATCTAAAACGTATTAATTGAAATTAAATTGATCGTTGATTGGAATGCACTCCGTTAAATTAACAAAATACGATAAATATTGGTTTATTGAAAATGTGGTCTTATTTTATATTACTGATTTGTCTTAATATTTGCAAAAGTGAAAACAAAACAAAAACAGATAATTTAAAACATTCTTTGAAACAAATTAATCTAAACATTGCAAGATCAAAAGACATCTTTGAATCATTTCTCAAGGAACTCGTAGATTTACTGACAACACCCGAATTTCAAGCAAAGAAACTAAAAAAATATTGCAAGATTTTATATAAAGAATTAAGATATTCCGAATACCGCATCGCCAGGAAATTTGGCAAACATTTTAAAAGTCTCTGTCGAAAGTATCAAGATGAATTAATCGGAGAACTCGAGTTTTATAGACGAGAGCTTGATAAACCAACAACGCTAAGAGCTGATTTTTTCTCAGCAATTAATGAAGCATTTACTCTTCAACAGAGAGCGCTCTTCACCAATTATTTACATGATTTAAGAGATTTTGGTACTGACGATAAACTAACAATAAATGAAGAAACAAAGAAGCTTATTAACTATATTATTATTGAGAGCATTTTAAAGTTAAATTCAAAGGCACAAAACGATATTGCTCAGAAATTAAAAAAGGTTTTTAAGGAATTCAATTCACGGAAGTAAAAAAAATTCTTGTTCTAATCCTACTAGCTTTTCTCTATGACTTATTCGCGAAGTATCAATTGGTATATATAATATTATGTGCATCCCAAAGCCAGTAACCCCACTTACCGGTAGGCGGGTAGGCTTACAGGTAGGTAAAGCGGTACCGGAAGTGGGTATGCTTCTGTGGTTGCATTAATTTAAGAAAAATAATATGTAAAAAAATATTAAATTTAATATAAATTAAAACTAATTTTATTTTTAATAACCACATTTACTTGACCTACGCTTCATAAATTAGAATAAATAAATAAGCGTTCTTTAGAAAATACACTAGGTATATCCACTATGAATGTGACAAATTATTATTAATTACTGCTGTTACTTACTGGCTTATTAGTTATTAACTTACTTGAAAATTTAATTTCTAAAAAACTGTCGTAAACCATGTTTTTATAGAATATTAAACAATAATTTTAAAAGTAATAGCAATTATATTGCCCGGTCGTAGACCTATCATTTCAAGATATAACTCTGCAGCAAGTAAATCAGAACAATATGTTTTACGTAAAATATTTATAATTGCTATTATTTCAATCACAATCAATGTACATTATTCGTTAGCATGTATAAGAGAAGATTTAGAGAAGTTTAAATTGCAAATAAAAATAGTCTTGTGTTTTTTTTGCAACTATTGTAGCAGGTCATAGACAACTAAACTGTACTCTGTGTCTGTTCCATTATATTTTCATGCATGGCAATATCGTTGAATATCGACAGAACAAATGAAATACGGCAACGTCACGCTTTCATGAAGTGTTAAAACTTGAAGTGAATAGTCATTCGGCGTTTTTAAAATTGTATAAAATTATTTAAAACTTTATATTCTTCTCAAAATGGCTGATAACAAAAGGTAAGATGAATTTTAATCAAATTTCGATGATGAAAATGAGCACTGCGTTCTTATTCGTTTCTTTATGTAATAACATAGCAACAAAACTTTGAAAATTGGCTTGTCATCATGTCTAACAATGGTCTAAATGTAAAAATTTTACAATATCATCACAGTTTTTGTTCCAAATTTGTCTCTTACATTTAGTTATAAGTAGATAACAATTAATTAGGAGACTATAATTTCACATCTGTAATAATACCCCACAGGGGCGAGTACCCTTAGTAACAACAATTAACGCTAGTTAATTGCTATATATATATATATCTTATGTATTTGTAACAGTCCCGATGATCTCTCTACTGCGATTCTCCGGCGTAAGGATAGACCTAACCGCTTGATCGTCGAAGAAGCCGTCAGCGATGATAATTCAGTGGTGGCGTTATCACAGGTTAGTCCTTTGTAATAATTAGTTATGCCATTGCATAAATATCACTCCAATTAGAAGTTTAAAATTGCAAATAATTCTAAAGGACATGAAAGAATTAACTGACATTTAGAGGTCTTTTGAGTGCATTGACCTTAGGCTTTCATATATACAAAGATTTAAGCTGTGTATCAAGTATAGATTATTTAATTTAAATATCACTCTTTCTTTAGCACTACTAGACTTGGTTTTTTTCTTGCCACATCTTGTAAGTCATCATACCTAGCAGTAACTATAAATATAAATTTAATCATAGGCAAAAATGGAGCAGCTCCAACTCTTCAGAGGTGACACAGTCTTGTTGAAAGGAAAGCGCCGTAAAGAGACAGTGTGTATTGTCCTCTCAGATGACAATTGCCCTGATGAGAAGATTCGCATGAATCGTGTTGTCAGAAACAATTTAAGAGTTCGGCTGTCTGATGTCGTATCAATAGCACCATGCCCATCAGTCAAGTATGGAAAACGAGTACACATTTTGCCGATTGATGATTCAGTTGAAGGATTAACAGGGTAAGCTTATTTCATAAATTAAAATTTAACTTATTAATGGTCAATAAAGACTTACAATGAAATCTGACCCTTCATTTAATAGAAGTAGAACTTTGTTTGGGTTCACAGCTGAATTCTTTTTAGTCATTAAAATGAGATATCATGAAATGTTAATATATACAAAGAAATGATACTTTATTTAGTTTAAAGGAATGCAATGCTTTATAACCTGATACAGTAAATTGTTTATGAGTACAGTATTAAAAAATAAGTATGATACTTGCATATTATTATTATAGTTGTAGTACATGAGTTTTTAGATTATTTTTGCCTATCCCTTGCCTTGACAGTATCACCACATTTGTTTAATATACAAAACAATATTTGCAAATAAATGAAAATAATAATATGTTTATTGATTGATGCAGTCATCTGTGGTGTAATTCATATGCATGAATGCAAAGCATGAAAATACCTACAAACAGCATATAAATAAATTAAATTATTTACAGAAATCTGTTTGAAGTGTTCCTGAAGCCATACTTCATGGAAGCCTACCGACCAATACACCGTGACGATACATTTATGGTTCGTGGTGGTATGCGCGCCGTCGAGTTCAAAGTTGTAGAGACAGACCCTGCTCCATACTGCATTGTAGCACCTGACACTGTCATACATTGTGAGGGTGATCCCATTAAGCGTGAGGTCAGTCATTAATATTATGTTCTATAATAGAAAAGCATTCCTGCTAAATAACAGAATTATATATTTTAGGGTGTTTTAATGATAGTAGTAAATATTTCATCTATTATACCTAAATGTTTTGCAAAATAGCCTTATTTTATGAAAATCTTTGCTCCATAGGAAGAGGAGGAGGCACTTAACGCTGTGGGCTATGACGACATTGGTGGGTGTCGTAAGCAGCTTGCTCAGATCAAAGAGATGGTTGAACTGCCTCTGCGACACCCATCTCTCTTCAAAGCTATTGGTGTGAAGCCACCACGTGGTATTCTCATGTACGGACCACCTGGTACTGGAAAGACTCTTATTGCACGAGCTGTTGCTAATGAAACAGGTAAGAAAAATTAAATTGTGGATTTGAATTTGTGTGAAATGATTTGAAATCACATCCAAAGCTTGTTAGTGGTTTACAAACTTGTCTCTGAAATTAATCTAAGGTTCCAATCTAAAATATAAAAATAAATAATCAACATGTGTCACCCAATGCAAAGATGACTATGCACATCTTATCTTTCCTTTTCATGATATTAAAGAGAAACATTTTGAGGAAAAGATATTTTTGTTCTATTTCTATACCAAATTTATTAAGAATAAAATATACCAAAGTAATAATTTATTATTATTTATTTATACCTCTGAATTATATAAAACATTTATAACTTTCATCTTGTTTTTGTTTTTTTAGTTAACTATAACAGTGCCTTCAACATTTTACTCTCAAATATATGGTTATTTATTTATTAAACAATAAATAGTTTCTTTTTTTTTAAACTAATTTAAATATGTACCACGAAATAATTGTTTTCTAGTTACCCACAACACAGGGGGTCCCTAGTGTGGGGGACTAGCGATTTATGATTTCTGTCACAAACCCTTCTGTCATTAATAAAGTTTTTATTTATTATTTATTTAGATATAAAAAAAATTCTTACTACAAATAAATTCTTAATAACATACACAGTGCATTAACTTACAAATTATTTGTTATAGGTGCATTCTTCTTCCTAATCAACGGTCCAGAGATTATGTCCAAGCTTGCTGGTGAATCTGAGTCCAACCTGCGTAAGGCTTTTGAAGAGGCAGACAAGAACTCCCCAGCCATCATCTTCATTGACGAATTGGATGCTATTGCCCCTAAGAGGGAGAAGACTCACGGTGAAGTCGAAAGACGTATTGTGTCACAGCTCTTGACTCTCATGGACGGTATGTTGTATTTATTAATTAGTAATGTACAACCTTTTTCCCAGCTGATATTTCGGAAAATGCCTTCCAAAGCAACTAGGAATATTTTCGGGGATTCTTCAAAGAACAAATGGAGCAACATCGTCACACACTGGTATCCACGTAACGGCAAGAGAAGTAGAGGACGGCAATACAGACGATGGGAGGACGAGCTAAAACTGACAGCAGGCCCAAACTGGAGGAGAGTCGCCTTGGACAGAACACAGTGGAAAGAATTGGAGGAGGCCTTTGCCGAAAGGCACACTGTAATTAGGGATATTTTATAATTTTAATTTATATATACTAACTTTAAAACTTACAGTAATAAAGGCTATTTTATTTTATTATTTTATAATGTACAACCTTTTTAGGTCTGGGCCTCAGATTTCTGTATCTGTTTCATGATCATTTGTCAATCTAATGGGCAAGTAGGTGATCAGCCTCCTGTTCTGTTTTCTTACGTTGTTTTCCTTCACCGTTCGAGCGAATGTTAAATGTTTAATGTTAGTTCTAGTATAGGCTCATAAAAAATAGTTAAACAAGCTTGTTAATATTTCTTTTAAATAAATGATGAACATATATATTTATTATCTTAATACAGATACAGTCACAACCGTTTACGACAACTTCGTTTCGTTTAGAACAATATACATTGGTTATATTGACCAAAATCAAAGGTCCAAGCTAAATTCTATTACATTAGGTACTTAATAACAACGTCATCGGCTGTTACGACTATCGGTTTTTACGACCAAATATGACTGGACCCTTCGATGTCGTTTTATCAGATTTTGACTGTACATTAAGTATGTTACTCTTAACTCAGAATAGTTATCTACGTTAATATTTTCTTTTAAAATTCCTATAAAAACATTCTAACTTCAACAAAAATATATTGAACACCAATAGGTATGAAAAAATCATCCCACGTGATCGTAATGGCGGCGACCAACCGCCCCAATTCGATTGACGCGGCGTTACGTCGCTTCGGGCGATTCGACCGCGAAATTGATATCGGAATACCGGACGCCACGGGCCGCCTTGAAATCCTACGTATACACACCAAGAACATGAAGCTTGGCGATGATGTTGATTTGGAACAGGTAAGTTTTCTTTTACACAATCTTTTACAACGTGACTGGTACAGGAACACTTCAAGAGAAGATTTTTTTTTTTTAATTTATTTGCACTTCATTACATTAGAAAAAACACGAATAACATAATACATAAAGATTATAAGGGATGCAACGGGCGGCATTATCGCTAACAAGCGATCTCTTCCAGGTTCTTATTTAGAACTCAAGAAGAGACCTTCAGTAATAAAGTATTTCATGTATCTTGTTTTCTCTTTCTGTTAACAGATAGCAGCAGAATCTCACGGTCATGTTGGTGCTGACTTGGCTTCACTGTGCTCAGAGGCTGCTCTCCAGCAAATTAGAGAGAAGATGGATCTTATTGACCTTGAGGACGACCAGATTGATGCTGAGGTGCTCAACTCTTTGGCTGTCTCCATGGACAACTTCCGTGTAAGTTTTCTTTCTTGGTGACTTGTTCTTAGTAGAGAATACCTTCGTTTCGTACGCTATTATTTACAGCCTAATAATTTTAAAGATTAAAGATGTTATTTATCTTAGATATGTGCTATTTTTTTTTTAATTACTAAAAAAAATTGCAAGAATCTGTACAAATGATAATAATACAATTTTATCATATTTAAATTTCAGTACGCTATGACCAAGTCGTCGCCATCTGCTCTCCGTGAGACCGTAGTGGAGGTGCCCAACGTATCATGGACCGACATCGGAGGTCTCCAGAACGTTAAGAGGGAGCTCCAAGAGCTGGTTCAGTACCCGGTGGAACACCCTGACAAGTTCTTGAAGTTTGGTATGCAGCCATCTCGCGGAGTTCTCTTCTATGGGCCGCCTGGTTGTGGTAAGTTTTGATGTCTGAACTTTTTTTCCCTTATACTATAAAGGAAAAAAGTTATAAAGCTTATAGGATTTTAGGCAAATTAATTACCATAATATTACCATTGTACAGGTAAGACCCTGCTGGCCAAGGCAATTGCCAACGAGTGTCAGGCTAACTTCATCTCAGTGAAAGGCCCGGAACTACTCACCATGTGGTTTGGTGAATCCGAGGCTAACGTGCGAGATATCTTCGACAAGGTAAAAGAAATCAATTTTTTCACATTCATTTTCATAAGCGTTATTGTGTTTTATTTATTAATTGATTTAATTCTTAGGCCCGTTCCGCCTCCCCCTGCGTGTTGTTCTTCGACGAGCTGGACTCGATCGCCAAATCCCGAGGGGGCTCCGTGTCCGATGCCGGAGGAGCCGCAGACAGGGTCATCAACCAGATTCTCACAGAGATGGATGGAATGGGGGCTAAGAAGAATGTCTTCATCATCGGTGAGTAGACCCAATGAAGTCCTACTAAAACGCGAATTATATAATTATAGAAATAACATTTATTTATTTAGATTTTTGTTTAGTAGCCGTACATAGAGTTGTTAATTATGAGTTACCGGTTTCTTAAACAATTTAGATTAAAATATATTCAACACAAATCCGATCGAAAATTCCTTCATATGATGCTAATCACTTATTAACTAATTGGTTGTTAAATTTTCTAGATTAAATTTCGGTCGATTCTTTTCGTCGTTATTTTTTTGTTTGTGTTGGTGGGTAGGAGGAGAGGTCTTGAAGTATATTAACTTAATTATTACTATTATTAATATAATGGGTAACGCTACTTTAACGATTTAGGTGCCACAAACCGTCCGGACATAATCGACCCCGCTATTCTGCGTCCGGGTCGTCTGGACCAGCTGATCTACATTCCTCTGCCCGACGAGAAGTCCCGCGAGGCCATTCTGCGAGCCAATCTCCGCAAATCGCCTATCGCCAAGGACGTTGATCTTACTTACATCGCTAAGGTATTATATACTTTATAAATTACCTATATATTTATATAACCTTAAATAAGAACTAATGTAGGATATTTTTATGTCGATGTATTTGTCAAAGTATATTTCTTCATGGAGAATGTGACTTAGAGCGAGTACACATGCACCGCGCTTTGCAGGCGCTCGACGAGCGTTAGAATAACGTTTTCTTAAAACTTTATTATTATAATCGGGACTTTCTATATCCCTAGTATTTGGTCGCTTTTCGATTTCATCGATAAAGAAATTCGTATCAACAAATGTACAACAAAATGGCCGCTCATGTATCTTGAAGCGCGCGGCAAATCCCTGCGCAACGCTCGTTCTAACAAAATCTGTAAAGGGCTCAAACACAACGCTTCAACACACTTAATACACTTCAATCAGACCTCGTAGTTCTTACAACGTTACCAAAGTGCGCACTTCGCCAAACAAAAACGCCTAATGTGTACTCGCTCCAATTTTACTTTTACTGCCAGTTATTCTTTAAAAAGTCATAATTTTTATCAATTTCTGTTTACCATAGGCGTATTTAAGCGACTTGATTTTTTTTCTAACTCTTCATACATATTAGAGATTGACCGTTATTAGTAACAACGTTTCATTATATATTTGGAATGGTATTTACGTGGCAATATTTTGGAATTAAGAATATGTTCATAACAGGTTACCCAAGGATTCAGTGGTGCGGATCTGACAGAGATATGCCAACGCGCGTGTAAGCTGGCCATCAGACAGGCCATCGAGGCTGACATTCAGAAGGAGAGGTCGCGCCAACAGCAGGCCGCCGCTGCGGTTATGGATGTAAGTGTATTTAATATATATATTTTATTTGTAATTTTTCTATGGAAACACTAAACTGTACTTGGGTCTTACGCCAATTTATTCCAATTATTTTTTTCACGGAATCTTGCCTATACTAGAAACACTCATACTTTGGTACATGAAGAAAAATAATATTTGTTTTCATGTGACAAACACTTAACATACAAATATATCTACCAAATAATATATTCTATTTCATAAAATCTTATGATTGTGAGGAGTTGTCGTGTTAACATTAATAAAATCTACGAATTAATTTAACATTTTGATTCCACATTCAAGTGAAAGAATTGAGTTCATAAACAGTAAACTATTTAGTACTTTTGACTGACGATTCCACGAATTGTGTTAGATGGACGAAGAAGACCCGGTGCCGGAGATAAGCCGCGCCCACTTCGAAGAGGCCATGAAGTTCGCACGTCGCTCGGTGTCAGACAACGACATTCGCAAGTACGAGATGTTCGCGCAGACGCTGCAGCAAAGTCGTGGTTTCGGCACTAACTTCAGGTAATTTAAAATAGCATTACGTTAATATAAATATAGCAATAATATTAAATACTGTTAATTTTTATTTTTTTTGTATTAAAACTAAGTTGATAATCAAATTTTTATTTATTTATAATATCTCTCCAATTCTTTGATAAGTTGTCATAATAAATATTTTGTAACTATTTACAGATTCCCAACAAGCGGCGGTGCATCAGGCGGAACGGGCACTTCGGGCGGAGACCAGCCCACCTTCCAAGAAGAGGGCGCAGATGATGATCTCTATAGCTAGATCCATTTAGAAAGACGGACTTACATACATGTGGGAGGGGATAGTACCTTTGTATGCCTAAGAAATAAAGTTTGGATAGACGTTGTTGTTTTGATCGAAGCGCGAAGGATTTACTTAAATTATCGTCTCATGTCTTCGGCATTTGTCCGGGTTTAACGCCAGTATTACACATTTAAATAAAACTCTTACGTATTTCTATTATTTACACAACTCGGCGTCTCTCAGCGGAAAAGCACTCGAACGTCGAGTTATGTAAATAATGAAATGAATTCTCGTTTATATCCGACCATTTGTAAGCTGCATTTAAAGTACAGAAAATGATCAGCTGGTACACAAATCTTCGAGCATTCCCAAATATCGGACCTGTTTACGATCACGACTTGTCCAAAGATTTGAGATTATGTGTATGTTTGGCCGTCAGTATCGTCTAAAATAAACGATATCCTCGAATAACTTGGATCGTTGATTTTTGATGAGTTTCAGTAATAGGATATATTTAAGAAATGTATAAGGGTTGAATCACGAGCGTTAGCCGGTGCAAATATCTGCACAATACTTATTGTATTTTATATTTGGCCGAATGTCACAAAAACACGTATTGTCAACGCGAAGCCGAAACAGGCATTACACAGTATCGCAGTGATTTTTTAATTAAATATTTTATAGATCTAATGATGTTTTATTTCTTAACACTATACCAGTGATTCCCTACCTTTTTTGTGCCATGCTCCACCTCCCCCTTTCTAAAATTCTTATGTCCCCTCTCCATCCCTATTTAACATACGTCATTTTTATAAAAAAGAATTTATTTGTTTACTTAGAAACTTAAATGATAGGTTTTAGGAAGAAATTGCTAACGACAGTGAAATGTAAATTTTCTAAGCATATAATGGAAAAGTGCAATTTGAATTGCCCCTGAACAGACCTCACGTTGGGAAACTTCTCTTCTATGTAGGTCACTACTGAATTTGTTTTGGGACCTTAATAATAAAAGGTACCAGGGAAAGGATCGATGTTATTACAATGGCAGCTTCATACGCTAGAGCATGTATTGTACACAATAAATTCACGCGTTACCTCTTCGAGAGACAATTTGGAATGATGTATCCTTTACATCCGCGATGTGTCCGGTACGGATGGTGGATTATGACCAGGCTACGCCTGAGAAGAGGGGGATATATCAGTATACCTATTTAGGATGCCTACAAGTCGGGTGCATGATGTGGATAAAATAGAGATAGGGTTTGCCGGTTCGAAAGAAGTTTCAACTTAGGTGTACGCGCGCACACCAGTTTGACAAGACCATGTTTCACGAGCGATATACGTACAATTAAAGTTTCTAAGGAGGTAGACCTACTTGTTAGTAGTCCGGTTGAGAAAACATAAGTTGTTTGTTTTATTAAATATATAATTATCCAAGTGTAGGTATTATTATGTAGTTCTTTCGCATTAGTAATAACGGTATTGTTAAAATAATTATGTTAGAAATTTAAAAAAAAGTTTATTTCTATGTAAGGCATATTGTTTCTTTGAGATCATGCTAAATTATCCTTGTACTTATTAAAAATGTTAGTTGGTTTGATTTCCGGGGAAACAAAAATATTTCAGAAGGTCTATTTGGGAGTTACGAATTTGTTTTTGAAAATAAATGACCATTGATATTTTTTTGTTGTAGATTTACGTTTATATTTGTAAAATGTCAAAGTACCAACAAATTGTCAAGGGAACAATAAATGTGCCTTTTGTTATTTTACACGAACAACACGCTCCTCAAAATTTTATAAAATGCCCCAATTTAGTGACAACTATTATCAGCGCAAATGTTTCTTCGAACGAGACCAAGTGCCAACGCAGAGCGTGATGAAGAATAAAATGACACCTCCTCTGGCTGCAGTATATTTTAAATCCATGACACCAAAACTTAAAGTTCTAGCTGGTCTTGAACCACCCATGAAGGGAGGCGGGACTGACTGGTATGTGCCACCTCGAGACATCCTACAAGGAAAAGCTGTTTTAAAGCCAGAGAAAAAAGAACATCTTGCAAAACTGGGATTTATTGGTATCGACTTTTTTGGAGACCGGTTAGTCGAACAACATTACAAAAACATGGATGAGGAAGAAAAACAAGTACTCGAAGAAAATGACGCAAATTGGAAAAGAAAAGTGGAAATAAGTTCACGACAACAATGGGATGAGACATCCAAAGACGCCGCAAACAACAATACAACCAAAATACGAAACGCATTTGAAGAATTTAGGATAATATATACTAGCTCAATAAATAACGTTGAAGCTTTGCTATTTGACGCAGCTATTAAAGAAATAGAGACAGTTAGTGATGCAGCACACAAAAAGATGGAGGCGAAATTTAAAAAGTTCGTTAAGCAACAAGCAACGACATTATATGATTTATATGCAAATATTTTAGATAAAGAAAAAACAAGACTGAAAAATATTTTTTTGGAAAACATAGAAAAATCTCGTACCAATACAACAAATCATTTACATAATATAAATTTAGACAAACACGTAGCAGTAGAAAAGTTACGTCTTTTTGTTGAATGTCAGAATTTAGCATGCCAAGCTTATGTCGCTCTGAAGGAAAGAGAGGAATGTAGATTAGATATGGAAAAATCTGAGAATATACACCAGAAAAAAATAAGAAAGTTAAAAGAAGAAATTGCTTTGAAAGAATTCGAAATTCAACTTTCCAAAGAAAAGGAAAAGAAAAGGCAAGAGTTTATTAAAGTTTGGAAGAAAAAGGTATGCCACGTTGTCAAAAAATTTCAAGAGTTCGTTGGTTATTGCTTAAAATTATTACCGAACCATGCTGATTTCTTTATTAATATGGAGAAACTGATGTTATTACATCTTAGCGACGCCATGGAAAATCCTAGCTCTGAAAGTATTTTCAGCCCGGAGCCAGAATCGGATAAGGATCCAGTGGCGAGACCGCATCCATTTTATGTATTTTGTGATAAGGGTTTTAAGCCTAAGATAGATCAGAATCTCTGTCCGAAGCATTGTACATCCAGTGCGTCGCATTTCCCGGTAGTTATAGTAAATAACAAATTGATTTACACTAAATGCGACAACTTTGATACGTTCCCGGAACAAATTAAGATGTTTATTGATGGAAATCGAGGGCAGGACAGCGATGTACTTGATGACCATGATTATACATACGATATACCCGTGAAAAGTACATCCTCCCAGCAGATTCTTGAATTAAAGCTGGAGAGCTCTATAATGCAGATATTACAAAAAGAAATACCAAATATAAGGAAGGTTCCCACCAAGTGTTGCTATTGTAAAATTCCGTACTGCTTCTGTAGTCCTTTGCACGCTTCAGAAATTGTAATCCAAAAACCAATTCAACCGGACAAACCCAGTGTAGTAGCAGAAATATCGTCAGGTGAAAAAATCACTACTCGCAAAATAGAATTGGAACATCAACGTGAGCCTAAATGGGACAGTTATATGAAATACGTCGAACCACAAAAGTGCAAATGCGGTAAAAGAGCTAAAAAACATCTGGAAGAACATTTACCGGCATACATGAGAAAACTGTCAGCATTTGAAGAGGTGGATTTGCCCAACTATGAAACATGTCCTCTCGATACATTAAAGATTTTAGTAAAACAAGCAAGAGGAAAGAAAACTCCTCCTCCTACTCCTGAGAAGGTGGAGTCTAAGACAAAGAATGTTTGTACGCAATATTCTGATTTAGAATTTGAAGAGCTGTGTACCTGTTTCTCAGATGAAGGAATAGAAAAATTATTCCAGAAGTTAATAGTTGAATCCAGGCTATTCGATAAAGCCGCTGAACCAAAGTTCAAGATCGTGGATGGCTCTATAGCTGGATCAGATTTAGATAAAGAACCCAGTTCCTTCGCCGAAAACAGAGCATATTCATTACGCAATTTGATTCACGAATCACCGGTTTTAGAGGAGTTATTTAAGAAGGAGGACTGTATATTTTAGATACTTTTATTAATTTATAAAATTATTATTGACGAACTGGTGTCCGCGACTTTGCATAAATTACATAAACTTTTTCCCGGCATTAGATTTAATAAAATAAAACCACAAAAAACAATCAACCGTATCTTCCATTATTCATTGTTAACCGCTCAGAATTATTAACTGGAAAAATTTATGACGGACACAAGTTATTAAAGTAAAACCAGAGCACTGATTAAAATATTTATATTTTTATAAAACTATAAATATCTTAGAGCTAATAAATTCAGTCCATCACGTAACTGCATTAACTGCCATCTGTTGCAGGAGGTTCATGACGTGGCAGAACCTTTCCTTGACCTCAGTCTGCGAGCGATGCGGCAGCAGCTCACACACTCGTACTAGCACCTTATCTGAACCACCTTCCCCTTTCAAAACCTCTAGCATAGTCTTATCTTCTTCTCTCGTCCAACTCTTCACTTCACTTTTAGCATCTTTAGGCTTTTTGTCTTCTTTTTTAAAACTCATTTTTAATTCTTTAACCCTTTTATCATTCACTTTCTTTTTATCGTTAGTTTTCCCTTTTACTTTTACCTGCTTGATATCCTTTTTTGTGTTATCATTAACGTCTTTAACAGTTTTTGTGGGTGATTTGGTCTGTTTTCTGGATTTTTTGGGGGGAACCTTGCGATTTCTGTTCCTTTTAGTAGATCTTTCTTCTTCAGAGTCTGTGGGGGAGATAAATGTGTTGGGAGCCAGCCGCCTCCAGTGGACTCGATAAGGTTCTTTGCTGTAGGGATATGTAACGCAGGCGGATCTTAATAACCTGCCGTGTTGAAGAAAGACGCGTCCATGAAGGTACTGGAACAAGTAATAGTATCATTTAAGCCTTTTTAGACTAGACTTAAACTTTTAATTCAGTAATTAAATGTATAATATGCCATATTAAAAGTCTAAATTAGCTCAGTATAATACATTTCGAAGCGGTCAGATAGAAAATGTACAAGGAAACGGACAACAATGAACCCTATTAAACTAAATTATATCTCTGAACCTTATCACATATGTATATATATGACAATACATATGACTATATGTACATAGTATACATATAGTCAATATCTATTACAATATGACTCTAAACCCTGGTCCAGCCCTCGAAAACCGGCTGTACCCAATGGATTTATATTTGTGGAATTAATAAACCACGGAATCTTCAACATCTAAGTTTACAGTTTAAAATATAAAAAAACAGATACAGAAATCTGAGGCCAAGGTAAAGGGTTAATTATTATTTAATTGACGCAATTCTTTTTACTATGTAAGCGTTATATGTTAATTGAGGGTAGATATATCAATACTTACAGCTGAATCAAGACCATCTTTTACATCCAGTTGTCTTTTCTTATCTTCCAGCTCAAACTCCCAAACATCATAGCCCTTATCGGATTCCAGGCAGCTTTCATCCATAAGATCTGTACTACCCTCGTAAGCACTGAAAATCAATATTTTATATTTCTACTAACTTGACTGGCATTATTATTATAAGGTAGGTTCGTTTATTGAACGACATTTTTAAATAATTAACCTTAATATTATCAATTGTAAATTAGAGATATTCATTATTGATGATGTGATGCCGACTCATCAGCTAAACTTCGCCAAAGACCACAAAATAGAAAAAGAAGTGTTATTTTTTAAGTATTATTTTTATTATCTCGGGATTTACCAATAAAGAAAAAACTAATGTGCGAAAAATACGCGACAGTTTTTGGTGAATTAAACTTGTAAATTGTCTCTCAATGACAGTTATAATATATTTATTAGGGATGCATCCAATACCGATGCCGATACCGATATATCGGCGATACTTTGGGTTTGCCGATATATCGGCACCGGCGATATTTTCATTGCCGATTCACCGATACTTTTAAAAATTTCTCGGTTTAAAAAAATTATGTAAACGCGCATTTTGTATGATCTAGTTTGTTGCAAACGAGCCACGGACTATTGTTGCCCGAGAAATCCCCGCGTTTTATTCAGTTTGTTGTCTCTATCATTCGCTTGGGGACAAAGCATTATTATTTATGTATATATGTATTTCATTTCGCTAAACACTATTTATTTATTAACACTTTGTTGCATTACAATATAAAAATTGAACATAATTAAATGAAAAGGAGGACAAAAATACATATTACATATAAACTTAAAAAAAGTCTACATAAAAAATTAAAAGTACACATGAATCACGATAATTTACGATCTCACGTCTCACGTCAGTGGTTAGTATGAAAAACTCTTGTTGGATTGATTAGTAGACCAAAATTTTTACTCGAGTCAACTATCTTTGCCAGCGCCTAGTTATTAGATATTATGGCTTGCGGGAGATCATTGAGACTTTATTGAACGTAGATTTGAAGATCATTTAGTTTTAACTGCTATCGCGAGTAGTATTTTAGTTAATTTTTATTATTAACAGTTATTTATTTTATTTTAATTTAATAATTATTCTTAATTTTAGTAACAAAACCTTTAAAATTATTCAAAGTTTGTGACTATTTTTTTTACATATATTTTTTTAATAAAAATTATAAACTTTTACTTAACTTGATATATTTTACCTTAATTTAATTTTAATTCAATAAGCGTTGGTATCGGTATCGACGATATTCCTATAAGTGTATCGGCATCGGTATCGTATCGGCAATAAAGCGTATCGATGCATCCCTAATATTTATCTATATTTCTTAATAATTCTTTTGAAAAATCAAAATAGAAACGGCCATGCATGAATTTATAAAATAATACCTATCAGGCGGGCGTTCATCGGGAAACAGAGACTTAAACACCTGTGCAAGCTTAGGGTTTGACCGGAGATGAGGTAGCACCCGACTCCTCATTTCCTGGCTTGATCCATTGTTAATGCCAGCGGTGATAGCTCGTAGGATTTTACGGTACACTGTAGGTTTTCGTCCTATTGTTTTCTGGAAATATAAGTGTTATGAATAAAAAAATTCTTTGATTAATTTATTTATTTAAACTTTTTTCCACATGAAATAACCTACAAGGAATCTAGTTCACCCGCTTTAGTTAATTTGGCTTGGCAGTGCTACACGGACTTGCCCATGAATGGCGAAGCAAGGATAGATTAGAGATCTATGAGACAAAATAAGACCTTACCAAAACACCTTTATTTTCTCTATATTTGAAAAGTTAGATTTTTTGGTGAAATTTTTACCACTTGTAGTATATTTGTCTAATACCTCATAGTTAGGTAATGGAAATTTTTACCTATTTTCGACACATAAGCCTATGTGCATATGTAGGTTTGGTAAATTAAAGATTTTTACTTTCAGTTCAATTTAATATCTACACCTATGAGTAAAGGAAGTTTAAAGGAAAACAAGGAAGATTTATATATATATATATATATATATATATATATGTATTAGTGGATAAACATCAAAATAAATAGGATATGACCAGGTGTTGGAATTGTCTGTCAAGTCAAAGCAGAAATCGGTTTACTATTTTTTTATTAATTTAACACTAATCCTAATACATAAAACTTAAGCAGTCTTAATACTTACTTTCTTCAGTATAATAAGGCTTTGTCAAAGTTTGATTGTTTGATTTATTAAGAAATGCACTTAATTGCAATTGGACAGAATTAGGAATAAGTGTGTAAGTTAAAAGTGTTACATAAAACTGAATCAGAAATCCACAATGTCTTACTGAATTTGATAATTAACTTTGTAGCTTTACTTAAACATAAGATAAAGCAATATTATTTAACTATAGTAACTTGTCTATTAGAATTATAGTAATTGAATACCTAATATAAATAAATTTAAGGAAAGTAATGTTCTTTTAGATTGACAAAACCAATTTATGGGCAAGGAAAGCTAAGCCTAAAGTTAAATCATATGCATAGCCAGAAAAGTATAATACCTGCAATAAAACTATAAAACTGGTCAATTGTGTAAGCACAAAATGGTCCATAAATCTACCAACTTCAGCGGCTTGCCCTGGTTTCAAAAATAATAGAAATTCTTCAACTATATCTTTGTGTTCATCACCAAAAAGTTCCTCTATCTTTCTATATAAATCCACAGGAGTGTCCTTCCCAGGATCAAATGCTTTTAATATCATACGAAACTGTGCAAATTTATTCACTGGTAATGACGAACTTGAAAATCGGGATCTGACTTTTGAATAGTATGATCTGACCAATGCTGTAAAGAATCAGAATTGATTGCTTAGAATCATTTCATATACTGATTGTAAAAGGAATGCAAGTTACATTCAAACATAGGTCAATATTATTTTGTATACATAGCAGCACAAGCTTCCAATAATTAGGATATAAAATAATTTGGAAACACAAAACCAAACCCTAATTGTCATATATAGAAGCCTCTTTCTATTTTGATATTTTTAGACTCTTTATTAATGCCTGAGGCTTATTAGTAGCTTTTAAAAAATATGACATCAATTAGTTAACAATGAAGAAAATTATTTAAAAATATCTATAATTCACTTTGTAATTTTAAGTTGTTCTGCCTACTTAGGCATTGTTTATACCTGTTTCCAGCTGATTTTCATTAACTTTTGGTTTGTCTGATTCATTTTTGATTTTACCAATAGGTTCCTTTGATTCCTTGGGGCTTTCATTTGAAGATCCAGCACCATTGATTATTATTTGCGTCTGAAATAATAATATGATTGAGAAATTTTAAAATGGCAGCCACTTACCTAATGTCAGAAATTTGTTAAGGTTTATCAGTGGTGTACATCAGAATTTTCGAGGTTTTAACCGCTTTAAATCCTTGACCTAGATTTTGAGTACCACTGACACGAATTTATTTTGTAACTATTCCTAATATAACTCGCAAAAGTTACATAAAAATATCACGTACTCCCTGACTCACCTCTTGTTTACAGGGAGTTTTAGTTAATATATTCTGGGGTAAAAAGGTTGTTGTTGGCTCCAATTTATTTCCAAATGCATCCTGGCTCTCTCTGCTGAATAATACAGGCATGGAAGGTAACATTTGTAGAAATAATTTATCTTCTTCGCAGTTCTTCGTATACAATGTTCACACTTTATCACTAATCTGCTTTCTTGATTTAAGTGCCACAAACCAATCACTTTATTATACCAAAACTTTGAAACTTTGAGACAAGCTTGTGCAGTAAATACATGATTTAATATTGAATACGTATACAAGCATTTAAAAACAAATCGTATAAAAACTGGGAATATTTTTATTTGACAGACAACAAGAACGACGCGAGTCGCAACACGCAAGGCGCGAGCGGCGAAGTTTCGAAAATTCAGACGTTTCATTATATGTTTTAATAAATGATATTATGTTTATCATTTCACGATTTATACAATTATTGATATAATTTTGTATTTAATACTGTAGTAAGAATGTCAAAATAATTATTTGGACGTAAGTAATCAGCATTATTTAGTATATGGAAGTAGAGAAATGAAACGTTGTGATGCGCGCGCGCCATTTGAGATATTATAATATTATTGTCATTAAATTTATTTTTATTAATCTGTACCGTTTATTCGATTTTCATTCACCCTATAAAACACACATAACTTTCTAAATAACCAATAATTCTAAAAAGGATTATTGCATTTAGTGAAAGTTTAAAACTAATATCTAGCATAACCATATCCAAGATACTAAGACCTTTCTTGAAGAAGAGTTTAAGTTAAATAAAGTCACTCACACACAGTTAATATTGATTGTTGTCTTTTTACTTGTATGATTACTTTCCTTACTAAGTAATTGGTTAAAGTTTAAGCTAAAACAAAACCGAGTATATGTAATATATATATGTATATATATATTTAAATACGTCAATACTATAATAATAATGGAGTCGAATTTAAGCCATTTGTAAAAAACGACATACTTCGCATAAAATTTTCTAATTTATTTACACATTTAATGTTAAGATTTTTTTATATCTCATTTTAGACAATTTAATAGCAGTAGCAGTAGTAAGGCTCTTAAAATTTTGTGTTGTTAAAGCGGTTGTCTAGATACCGAATCGACCGAAGGCCATAGTGCGAGGCTCATTATCGTTTTTTATTTTACATTTAAACAAAAGCGTGTCATGAAAGTGAAGTAAACTACTCATTGGATCATGGCTGCTATAATACCTATGGGATTAAATGGGGTAAGAGTTCACATTTAATTAGGTATATAATTAAAAATATATTTAAGGTCTCAGTCACAGCAGAAATATATTTAAATTTGGAAGACAAAGGCAAGTACAAAAGAAACAGTTTTGAATGCTGTTCTTTTTATTTATAAATATCTAAGCTGCATAGCATATACAAGAAGCAAACCAGAATTGAGATACCAAATTAAACAATAGTGTTAATTATAGGATGTATTAAGAACGCTTAAGGGTTGGGTAAGTCGATAAATGATAGACAATTACGAATATTCAGTATGACCTTTAATATCGATTAGTTAAGATAGAAACTGTTTTGTTAATGATTTCTTGCAATTATACAATATTTGTACTCCGTATAATCCAGTGTAATTAGTTTCGTGCGTGTGTCCGGATTTTTACTGGCCTCGTTACACAGGAAACCGAAATTTATGCTAAAATATTATGTTTATATCAATGCAGTTTAATTTTACACGTACTTCGGTTAACACGATTAAAAGTTGTTAAGATGTCCGAGGAAAAATCTGGAAAAAGTGAGGGCGCGAAAAAGACGATGGCGTCGAATGAAGTAAATTTTGAGCAGATGTCGATTCAGGAGGGGTCTTCTACGGAAGTGTGTATTTTCTAGTCCATTCGAACAAAAAATATTGTTAGTAGTTGTTAATGTAGAAAAAAAAATAATGACTGAGATATTTCTCTACTATCTCGTATTCGAAAACTTTTTGTAGTCTGTTAACTTATAAAATCCTATCGATACTAAGAATATGGATATTTATTATAATGATTGCTGAGAAAACTTTAACAATGTTTCTTAGCTTATGCACCTCAATTTAAATTCTATTCACACGGTTCCATTCTTTAGAAATTAAAACTTCATAATTGTTGTGCCAGAAATCTATTGTTTATTTAATAAAATGCGTTATATTCGTGAATATTTGTATACATTTAAAATTGTAAACTTTTTGAGTCTATAAACCTGTATTAAAAATTTCCCATAGGTATTCATTTCTAATGACATTAGCTCTACATTAGTAATGTACGGTCTACTAACGAATGTTACAGACTATTTTTTTAAAGAACTATTTTAAATGTTGATATTTTTACAGATTAAAGGATTAGATGCTAACCGTTACGCGACAAAGAAGACCGTTGCACAAGGCTTGCTGGACATAGCTTTGTTGACATCGAATGCATCGCAGCTGAAATATATCCTCCAAGTTGGCAGCAAGCATGAGTTCTACACGCTGCTCATCACCCTCATCACGATATCTATTATTTTACAGGTAAGACATAAGCCATATAATTGGAACCGTCGAAGACAAGAATTGGCTCATATTTAAATTCAACTCGCGCGCATATATTCTTGATTTTTGGTAACAGTTTTGAGAGCACGTTCTAAGGTGATGTAGAAAAGTTTATGTTTTTAAGACATACTTTTTTATTGCCTTACAATTTATATGAAGTAAATTAAGGGCAATCCTATGAATAACAATACTGTAACAAAAATTATAATTGCTATCAAAAATAGAAAACGTGGTAACCGTTTATACATTTAAATAAATTTAATGAATTATTTAGGTTTGATAAATCTTGCCTTGCTTGATTCTCCTAAAGGTCGTACTTTGCTCCTTCAATTTTCACTTAGGAAAGCATGGAACTCCCTCCCTGAGGCGAACAGTCTTCGAGACTGTGCGACAGCATTTTATTAGCCAGCCATGATTGATAGCATCATCAAGGCAACGGATGCAGGAAAATGTCAAAATAAAAGTTATACCGAAATGGCCGTTATTTCACGCCTGCTACATGCTTTTAAATCGCATATATTGTTGAGTTAAAAAAAAATCAGGTGCTGATGGGGCTGGTACTGCTGTCTTTGAACCTGCTGCACGACTGCTGCTTCCACAAGCCTCGCTACAGAACTTCAGCTAATAATATTAACTATGTCACTACAGCGACAGCATTTATCATCACGGCAATAAACATTTTGATTTCTTCTTTCGATTCATCTCTTGCCATGTATTTGCAGTTTGATGAACTGTAAAGTGCTGTAAAAACTCAAGAGGGCAAGACACATTTCATTGATAGTTTTGAAGGCAAGTTTGTTTTTTAACGATGCGCGCTCACATCGTCATAAAAAACCGACAACCTCAAGTCAACGTTTTAGTTTTTTGAAGTTATACTCCTTTTGGTAATTTGGAGTAATTTTTTGAAGTGAAACTTTTTTATGCGCATGAGGGTAAAATTTTTACGGATGAAACGCAATAATATTAGTCACGTCACGAAGATATGCAGCGTTTTAGTCAAAGAAAAGGATGAAGCAAATAGCCAGAGCGAGAGTAGGGTGTAAGCAAGTGAGAAAGATCGAGAGAGAGTGAGACAGAGCGAACGTCGCATCACGCACAGTGCCATGGAGCGAGAGGTGGGAGAGAGCTATAGTGAGAAAGATTGAAAGAGAGTAAGGGAGATCGTGAAAAAATACACGCTATTGGTGGCAATTCTGTCGCATAACGTCTTGTGCAGTAAACGCAGATTTTTATTTTTTTTATAATAGCACGTATACAGATATAGATATAAAAAAATACATGAAGTGATCATATTATACTGGTACATAATCATCTATTGGGGCTTTTACCTTAGTAATAATTAATATACAAAGAAGTTTCACTTCTGATACTTGTACTTGTACGCACGCACTTTTTTCTATAAATTGTTAGTGTAGTTTTTTCTACAAAGGTAAAATAAAGCGAAACATAAAAAATTTTGAAAAGATTTTTATCTTGTTACGCCAAAGAAGTATAACTTCTAACGCGTGTACATAAGTACACACACATTTTTTTAAAATTCTTATTCTAGTATTCTCCCTTTGAACAATAACAGGATTTCTAAAGTTATCTAATTTTTGTACAATTAGTCAAGAACGTAAATAAAAAAAGATCACGGAACAATCGATCAAACAAAATCGGCGGATGTAAAGAATTTATTGAATTTAGCGATGCGTGTTATTAACAATAGTTATCATGCAGTAATTTATTGAAATAAAACAGTACAATAAATTTAATACTTACCTTATTTAAAAATGGTAAATTAGATCTTGCGTGTATTTATTATGCATTACTTATCATTTATATGTATGTGGGTTATACAGACTTCACGGTCAAATTTGATTAGATACATCTTCGTGCGGGCTTTAGACCTTCCTTATTCATAGACACTAAATCAGTATAAAATTTTCCAAGAAAGAAACAAGTACCCACTACTCATTTACATATCTGTCAAATTCATGTCATGTCAAAAATCAGGCTGAGTTATGAATAAGGAGGGAAAGGGTAAGTTTTTATTTAGCTAAGTCTGACTCCCGTATTTGACATACATGTATTGGATTTTGACATACGCAAGTCATAGTTCGTGCTATTCATTTTCTGAATCTCAACCCCAAAGCCCCCTAAATTGTATATGTAATTATTGTTTTAGCTTGTGGTCGGATTGCTATTTGTTTTAATCGGAGGATTGGATTTGAATGATCACCTGGACCAGCCATCAGCTGTCATTCTCAATGACATCATTGTTATATTTATTTTCGTCATATCTGTTATTAATATCGTGATATCCGCTTTTGGAATAGAATATTCCAACAACCCATTGGTTTTGGAACGTTTAAAATATTTTAATAATGGATATTTGAAAATAGCAAACTCGACGATTTAACGAAGAATTTAGTTTTAATTTATGGAATATGGTTATAACGTTCGTTGACATACTGTTGTTTTAATAAGAAGTTTTTATTGTCACAGGTAAGCGCAGGGATCCTGGCCCTCATAACATCGTCACTGAATGCTGATAGCCACAAGAAGATCACAAACTGGCTAAATCAAATATCTGTGGGTCTGATGACAGGCGTTATTTTCTGTGACGTCATCAAAATGAATTTTGGCCTCGACCCTGCGCTATCTGAGCATGATTATTTAAAAAATATTAGTATAAGTTTAACTACATCGTAAGAGAGAGATGTAAATTTTCGCACCATATTATTTGTTTTTGTTTCTTTTTTATTTATTTTATTATTTTTTTTAGGTCCTTTCATCCATTGGTTCAGTGATACTTGGTTTTATTTTCGACATCAATCACCAACCCCACCATAAACGCGCAGAAATATTGAATAATCTTTATTTGGGCACTAAAACAGTAAGCACAGTAGTAAATGTGATGATTTCGGTATTTTATTCCCTGGATGTAACTGGAAATGGAGTTCCTGGTCCCATAACAACAACTTTAAATGCTGTAATATAGCCATTCTCTTTTTTCTGTAAACAAAACATAAACGCATAGATATTTTTCTGTACTAAGATTATTTTTAATTTTATAATTTTCGGTATAATATTATTTTAAATAAACTTGTTAAAAATATTACAGCAAACTGTTTATGAATGTATAATTTCGGTGTAAGGCTCATATTGAACAAAATTGTATTTTATATAAGATATAATTGTTTTATAATGTATACTACTATCATGATTGATAGGACAAAATTTATGTTTATTTGTTTATTATATCTTCACTCTTAAAATAACCTTTCATTTCAATCTTTGTTTTAAGTTAAAAGTGTCATACTTACATTTGTGCGTTTTCCAATTACAGAGCATTGTGCGACTCAGTGCCGCACAATGCCGCATAATGCTGAAGCTTAATTGGAACGTGAATTAGTTTTCAAATGCATCAGCAGAGTGCGCTAAGTCAGTGTTGAAAAAAAAATGTTCTGAATAGAGTTAGCAACCTCATTAATGTATAAATAATGTGGTAAACAATAATAATTGGTTGAAATTTTTTTACGCTTTTTACTGAAATAAGAGAAAACCTTTAAAGAATATAAGGTTTTAACAAGCTAAATTAACAGTAAAATATTTAGTTTCATGTAAGAAGTTTACATCATTTACGTTTTGAGTAATTTTTTTTAATGATTTCTAAAAAAATTATATACTTTTTCAAAACCATTGCAATTTTTTCTAAAGTATAATCCTGTAAAATAAAATTGTTTACAGATCCCAATTTTAAAATAAAATTGTATTCATATTTTAAATATGTAATATAAAAAAAAAAAAAGGTGCGTGTACTTATGTACGCGCGTAAGAAGTTATACTTCTTTGGCATTATTAAAAATAGTTTTTGATTGCATGCAAATAATTAATTACAATTAAATAATCAAAGACTGGAAAAGGAGTCATTAAAGTCAATAAAGTTCAGTTTACATTTGAAAAATTAATTAAATAAATATTTATTATTATTCTCTTACATTAAACAAATAAAACACTATTTATCTTTAAAACATTTTTGTTTCATTATACTATTTATTTTTAAGTGACTCTAATGTCTTCATCAGAATTTCGGTTTGTAATTTTAAATTAATCATTACTTGGTTGTGCATCTACGAGGCTTCTCCAAAACTACTTGCTTTCTGCAACAAATAAGAGAATATTAATTTAAGCTCTGTCCATGCAAAACTTAAAATTTTTTATAATTCATATTATAAATTTTTAACACATTTATATTAATATAATTATATAAATGTGTTAATAATATAATTTGTAGCACATGCTACAGACCTGGATAGCAACTTTCTTTTATTCTATTTAGAGATAGAGATAATTTAAATATAATACCGGTGTCTTCCTTGTAGGTTTCTTTGGAGTTGTTTGGGGATTCTTGTTGTTCAGTTCGACATGATTTTCTTTAACCTTTCTTTAATCCTACAAAATAATGAAATTGTTAAGTTATGTTGTCACTGTTGTGCACACCTTTGTTTGGCTTTTTTAGTATTCAAGTTATGTCAAAACTGATTTATTACCTTGTCATTGTTGGCTTTATTTGCTTTTGGGATATCAATTGTTTCCAAAATGATTTTATTTGTAATAACCTGAAATATATAAATAACATCTATTAATTTAAGTATCATGGTGAGTGGTTCGCACTCAGGTATTAAGGTGTATTATACCCACTGTCCATTATAAGTGGGAATGGGCTCACTTCTGGCAGGACAGAGTTTCGGTACTACAAGTGCAACATGGATGTTTTGAGGTATTACAATATCTCTAACTACCCTGTAGGGGAATAAAGTAATGTTGTAAGCATATGCCTATGCTTGAAAGGTTGAACCTTGAACATCACCATACATCATATTTATAATTAACATTCCTACCTCGACACCATCACAATCAAATTCATTGAAATCTACTTCAAACCATTGTGTCTCGAGAAGGTGATGGTGGCTTTGTTCCACCTCCAGTTTTTGATGTTTCACGGCGATAAGATGACAACTCTTTTTTTGTATTCAATTTAGTGCACTTCCACTGATTCATCAATTGTTTTTTGTCTCTTGTCCTTATATTTGCTAGATTAAATCTGATGTTTTGATTAAATAATGTGGTCATTTTTTTTGAGATGCAGGTACTTATTAAAATGTTTACTTCTCTGTTATATCGCTCCAAGCCTTCATTTTCTCCTTATTAGTATTCGTGCTTAAATCTTTGTTCTCAATTATTGATATATAGGGTCGTAGAATATTTCTAAAAAGTTGCTGTAACAAACGCAATAAACAAAAGCAATGAATAATGGTTCATGTTTCAGTTTTAATCAACAATAATACTCGATAATACATACGGATAGTTAACCTCAATTGTATTGAAGCACTCAGGAAGGTTAGCACAGTTTTTTCACAAATATTTTATATTATTTCACAAATATTTTGTATAATGAAAATAACTAGGTATATAATTATTAATTTTAAACAATAATTAAAACTCCTATATTTGTTTAAAAGGTAAATGTCATTGTCAGATGTCAATTGTCATGGTCATTCAAAATTCTTGTTAAGCTGCTAAGCTAGAATATGCGTGAAGTTAGCTTCACGCATATTCTATTTCTTTTTACTTGTAGTTTGTCTTATTCCCATCTCGCTCGCGCACGCTAATCACACTGCCAATTTTGTGTCATAGGTGCGCGCGCAATCGTAAAATTTCACTCTCATAAATTTTTCATAACGCGCCTAAAGAAGTACAACTTCAAAAACTATTTATACCTTCATCCATACTAATTTTTTTTTTAGCAGTTTGAAATAACTTTAATTATTTTCAAAATCTACGACGAAACGAAAGCCTTACAAATTTTTCAACAATAAAAATAATATTTACTAACGAAAATTTCGATAAATGCCAACTTAAAGAAAAACACTGGTCAATTTTCTGTCACTGTGTTGGTATTGATTGCGAGAAGCACGCGAGAGCATAAGTTTTGAGAGTGCTCAATTGTGCGAAGCGTTGCTGTAGTTGGAACATTCAACGTTGAGCATTATGCCGCATAATGCGCTCTAGTGCTGTAATTGGAAAACGCACTTTATATGGAGGGAAAAATTTTAAACTAAAGCAACGCAAAGACAAAAACTAGATTGTAACCATAGACTCATAAAAGATATTATGTTGGCAACAAATAATAATTATTTTTTATTAATAATCATAAAGTTTATACATTATATTTAAAAGCTGAAATAAATAAACGTAATCATTACACGATAAAAATAAAATAAATAAACAAGTAAAACACAATCAAACATGAAGAGACAGATTAAATTACTATGAAAATTGACAGATGATATCGTAATCTATGTCGTAGTATTATGTATCAAAATTCAAATATCAGTTTATTAATGTACTCACTGTATCAATGGTATAGATTATTCATTATAGTATTTCTAGAGTGAATAATTTTCAATATTTATTTTCCAACTTAATGTTAAATATTTTTTTAAAAAGGAAACTAAGTTAAAACTGAAATTATATTGTAAAATTAAACAGTAACTATGTTATCTCTGTCTCGGGACTGGTGAACAGTGTGACCGTTTTTAGTATATTCAGTACCAAATTGGTATAATTTGGGCTCCGTGTAACTAATTTAGTATTTTTTTGGTATCCTTTTATATGCTGGTATTTTTTGGTACATTTAAACTTTCAACATTTCAAAACACATTTTGATATATTTTTGGGCTGGGCGGGAAACACTCACTTCCATTCGTTCGTATTTCGTTCACATGTTTTTGTCTTTGTCTGATGTTTACCGCAAATGTATCATTTTGTCTCTTTCGAACGGTTAATGCTAACAAATTCGCGAATCGTGCTTTAGCTACGTATTACTATCTACGTTACATGCTGTATTTTTATACATGTGGTCCCTTTTGGGACCACGGATGTTTTAGTTCTTTATTTATTTCTCTCTGTGTGCATGTGTAGTGAAGATAATGAAGCGCAAATACGATCAGAAATATAGATCTGAGTGGGAACAAAATTATGTTAGTTATATAATCTTGTTAGTTATGTCTGGACTTTAAAAGAGACTGTGACCTCTGAGTTTGTTTCGGCGTTTCTTCTCAGAGTAGTCAGATAGGAAACGTCGATCTCATCTAGTTTAAAAAAAAAAAATGTTTGACATGTAAAAGTGTTTGTAAAAACCTACTTACAGAAATAAATCATTTATCATTTATGAATTTTCGTCATGGTTGACAAAAGATAAAAATAATGAGAACGCCTTGTGTAAAACGTGTGGAGCAACATTTTTAAGCAGAATCGCTACAGTTAAAAGTCATGCATATTCTGAAAAACATCGATAGAAACTTATACATTATAGTGGACAATACAAGGTAAGAAAGCTATGCCCCCATTAACATATTTATAAGATTATTGTGTCCCTTATTTTTTTATGGCACATGAATTAATTGTCCTACTTCTACAGGTGTCCGATGAATCTTGGATAGTACATGTACAGTTGTACACACATGTATAATTGATTTAAATTCATCGAATTAATCAAATCCTGTTTATTTTCAAAACGATGATAAATTACTTCAAAGGAAAGAACCCATATCTGAAGAAGTAAGAAAAGCAGAGCTTATATTTTATGCGGCGTTGGCAGAACATGACATACCATCTCGGGCCATGGATCATCTCAGCGATTTATTCAGCAAAATGTTTTATGATTCGGAAATCGCAAAAGGCTTTTCCTGCAAACGCACTAAATCTACTCAGTTAGCTCAGTGCAGCGAATACTGATTTAGTATTTGTAATAAAACTTATTGTAAATATATATTATTACTTTAATATGTCTGTATAATGAAGGTGTGTAATTGGTAAAATTAAAAAGTAACTGATAATAAGTGTTTTAATAAAAAAAATCCTCTTTTTCTTTTAGTATATTTTTAGTATAATTCAGCATGTGTTTTGGTATTATTTAGTACTGGCACCTTGTAGTTTTGGTAGATCGCCATTTTTTAAAACGGTCACACTGCTGGTGAATGGTGAAGAGATTGTCGAGGTTAACATTTAACCGAATCGCACGGTATCTACTCCCTACCTAACTAATCGATCATTAAATGATCGATTAGTTAGGTAAATGATCATCATTTCACTTAGCTTCGGAGTTCGGTGGCATTCTCACAGCTCACTTCACAAGCCATAGGCTACTTGTTAGTTGACGAAAAGTCGCCGCGAAACTTAGACGTGACAATGGCAAGTGGGAGAATCGTAGTTTACGGTGGTCGTGGCGCTTTGGGCTCTGCATGTATAAACCACTTCAAAAATGCAAACTTCTGGGTTGCAAACGTTGATCTTAACCCAAATGACAAGGCAGACGTAAATATAACTGTGCCCAAGGACGGTTCCTGGTTACAGCAAGAGGAACACGTAGTCAACGAATTGGGCGCTGCACTACAAGGTCAGAAAGTGAATGCTGTGATTTGTGTCGCCGGTGGCTGGGCCGGCGGCAATGCTGCTAAGGACTTGAGTAAACAAGCGGATTTAATGTGGAGACAATCTGTATGGAGTTCGACCATAGCCGCAACTCTGGCTTCGAAATACCTGTCTCCTGGTGGCTTGTTAGCTTTAACTGGTGCTAAAGCAGCTCTGGAAGCTACTCCTGGTATGATTGGTTATGGCCTTGCTAAAGCCGCTGTGCATCAACTCACTAAATCCCTAGGTGCTAAGGATTCCGGTTTACCAGAGAACTCTTTAGCTGTTGCCATTCTGCCAATAACATTAGATACAGAAATGAATAGAAAATGGATGCCTAAAGCCGATTTCAGTACATGGACACCATTAAGCTTTGTTGCCGAGTTGTTTGATAAATGGTTAAAGGGAGAAAACCGGCCTGAGAGTGGAAGTCTTGTAGCATTAGTTACTAAGAATAATATTACTGAAGCTGTTGTCCAATAATCTTGCTACAATTCTAAAATATGTATTGAGATTACTTATGATTGATATTTAATGTGCTGATGACTATAATGTTACCTACAAATGTACTTCCCATTAGATGGTATTTGCTTGACTATATGGCATTTATATATAAGTTTAAAGGGAACAATCTCATTATGTTAAGCTCAAAAATTCTTATGTGATTTATAGATATTAAATGTTGTTATAGCCTTATTTGTTTTATTGCCTGATATAAATACTTTGAGCAAAAATCTTTATTTCCAATTTACTCTAAAAATGCTATATTTTTACATTTTTATCAGCCAGTTAGTGACAAGGCCAAGGTTAATTTTGATAGAAATCATAAGTATGACCTTAAAGATTTCGATTGACCCTTCAATTATAACAAGTTGAAACTGAGTACACCTATCACATATTTACTCAAATATATCTTACTGAATAAGTAATTCGTCATCGAAACCATTTTTTTTGTTTGATACGGATTCTAATGTAATGTGTCACTTAACCGGAAAATCCGCGAAACTGGAATTCCCAAATAACAGTTAACAATCATAAGCTTTACAGAGACAAAATTGTATAAGGAAAATTTATGGTTTATATGACTTCAATAATTTCTTCGTTTTTTTGGTGGGTTAGTTGCTAAACAATAAATAATATTGTCATAGGTTCGATCACGCGGAAACAATAATTGTTACGGTTTGGTCAGCACAGAATTATTTTTCCAACAATATTACCTATATCATATTAGTGTATCTGCTCCCAATCTCTTTCTCTACGTGCTTCGAAATTATTGTGGCTATTTGATTAGTTTTTTAACAAAAATTAATTCTTTTAGACTTTAGAGCATATTTATTAACAAGTTTAATCCGGTTCCACCAAAAAACGCATTCGTATAATTAGTACAGGAAGTAACTATATACTTCCTTCTCGGAACACTGTTATGTACTGTAAGCAAACAAAATATTTTAATCAGAAATCAATGAGTAATATTGATTTGCAATTGATCTATACGAAATCGTAGGAAGTTTATAGAAAAGTAATTAGAACGCCCGTTCAGAATTTTTGTAACCAATATATCGGAGAGCGTCTAATTTCTCGGAAAAATATCAAGTACGAATTCAAGTTTAAAACTAGAACAGTAAAACACTTCACTTAATCAAGGTTAATCTAAGCGTTATGACGCAAAGTATAAAATTATAAATTACAATTTCTAAGAAACGGCTGATGTATGAAGTCCCATAAATCGCGATTTCGGCGAGAGGCATTCGTTATCTTTTTTTATTTACACATTAGCGGTGTCTGGTACATGTCGCATTTCTGATGCTCAGCCAGGGTTATAATCCCTACTTAACTGTAGGCAGTAGCAGTCTATAGTTAGTGAGCGCTGAAAAAACAGCGTACCTTTTTAAAAGTGTGGTAAAGGCGAATTTTTTTCGATTGCATGGATAGCTTCTATGGATTTATGGTCTCCCTAATTGAAAATATTACTGCCTAGACATAAGGTCAGAGTTGTCGTTTCCCGTATTTAAAAAAAAAACTCTTCACGACTGACGTCTTACACGACTACATAGTATTGCTCGCAAAGATTATGAGGCGCTTTATTATTCGTTCAGTTTGAGTTCTCTGTTGCCTACCTGTAATAAAACAAGTGTAATTATAAAAGAGAACTCGTTGACATAGAGGCTTAGTAGGTAGTTCGCTTAATGTATAGTCTGGGCTTGGTATAACTGCTTAGGGGTTTACTAAAGACACAAATTTAATATGTACGACTTAGACGCTATAAATAATGGTACCTTTAATGAAATATGGACACAATGATATTTATGATGAATATAATTTAGGCTAGAATATCATCAATATTGGTAAAATAATGGTTTCTATGTACTGATAATAAAAGACACTAGGAATTTATGAAACTTTAATTCTCACTGTAGCTACTTAACTTATCCTAACATTGCTTAAATATTAAACACAATATTTTTTTTATTAATATTTTTCATGAATAACATTTCTTAATTTGTACGAATAATATATATATATATAAATAATTTAATATCTAACCTAATTTAACATTGCATTTATGTATAACATTGTCATGACCGTAAATCCATTTAATTGTAGTCAAATTGCACTTATGCATAGTCTTAATTACTAAAAATCTCACGAAACGACACCGAAGCAGTCGATAGTAAAGATATTTTCACCTTACCTTTATTATGAAATCCTATTTTCTCCCATAAACCAGTCGAACATTATTTAAATTGTATAATGAAGATAACTTAAAAATGAGTTTGTAGGTTTTTGTTTTATAATAGGATACTCTTCTTTTTAATTCAAATGATCTCTAGATAAAGTTGTTTAAAAATTTGTATTATTACATAACAAAAATCCTCTAAATTTTATAACGATTTACCCCTTATTGAATACATCTTTCTAATTGGACTCTTTTAACTAATAAATAAGGCTAATAACAATATTTTTAAGGCGTTTTAAATGGCGGAACGAAATGGAATCTCTATAATTTAACATGCTAACAAACAGTTGCTGTTTAGTACACGTCAACCGACGACAGCTCGAACGGTATTCTTTAAGATGTCAGTAACAAGTTCTGTTGTCTTAATGATTTTAATCCCAATCTGGTCAATGAAGGTGATTGCGGTGGAGTATGGCTCTTCTGTCGTCGGTAGTCTCGTCATCGTGTCTTGGCCAGCCATCGCCCAGCTTACTGGTGTAGGTCTGAAACGAAACAATTATTTTTTATCGGAACGTGCACCAATGGCATTTTCTTTCTATGTGCGCAATTAACAATTGTTCCTACCATGACCAATTTATAGTTGTAGAGCCACAGTATATTGGATAAAAAACAACCACAGATTACACAACTTAAAAATAATTTTATTATTATCAAATAGTTATTCTGAGTGAAATATCCCCTAAAATAAATCCTTGACAGACTATATCCTTTTTATTACCTACTTTGGCGTAAAACTAGAAGGATAAACTTTAGAAACACGATTTTGCCATTAGAGTTCACAATAACCTTTATGCAATACAAAGAAGAATTTTGGTGAAGACTGTGTTCTTTTTTGTAAAAAAGAAATTTTTTTTGAAAAAAAAAAAGAGAAGGGATAAGGGAATTTACGTTCTAAGGATGATATCAGTTAATTAAATGAAATTTAATTGTCTGAAGTAATCTGTATACTAATCGTGTAAATTAAAACGCGTGAAGTGAATATTGGCAATTTTTTTATTAATTCTTAAAAACCGTTGTACACGGCTAAACAATAGGAAGTAGTCGGCTAGTAGTAGTATTAGTATAAAGTCAAGATTTTTCAAAATTAAATAAAGTTAGAAATGTAAAAACTTAAGTGTGAACTTCTCTTGCCAATATCACAGCTTGAATCAGGAAATGTATGTCGATGTTTTTAATAATGTTTTGAGAGTTACGTTACTCTTCTGCAATGATTCTTTTTAGCCCCTTGATATTTTGTGGAGCAGGTTGCTCTGATCTTACTCTTTCCTTTTGAACATTCCGGACAGGCTCAATGGGGTGAATTCCTTTATACTTACCGATGCTAACTATTGTTTTTTTACTACGATCATGAGATGTGTCACATAAGTCAGTAGATGTAAATGCTACTCTGAATAATGCATTAAGCTTATTAATTACGTCATCTTACTGGACTGGCTTCATTCATACTGTTATAATACTACGTCTGTTTTCCGCTAAAAACCCCTTTAGCGCTATTCCTCTCTTCGAAGAAAGATTTCCTAATGGATATAGAATAAATGCACTAATCATATTACTTGATGTTTCCACAGCTTTTCAGCAATCGTCTCTAGGTGGCTACTAAAAGATTGCAATAATTAAACAGGAAGAGAGATTATAAATAACGTGCTTATTCGTCGAGGCCAAGATTTTAGTGTCAGGAAAAGGCCTGACCCTGGCCAAGGCGAGCTCAACTATATGTTTTAGTATGTTTTGTACATTTAGATACTGATAATGTTTGATAATACTAATTGATAAATGGATTCGCGATATCATCCAAGTATGTAAACACATTTACGGGAATATAAATACATTTAACTCAAGTGACGAAACCTCGTCGCCTTTCGCTTGATTTTAATTGACTGCGCGGATCGGAACCAAAACTAAATTTCAATTGTTTTCATTCTATCCCACTTGAGTGTCCTAATCATTATAGGCAGACGTCTATGACTTCAAAAGCGAATTGGTATACAAGAACCTAGAAAACATAAGAGCACATTATGGTTACGTCTTTGAAGTAAAAATAATGTCATAAAAACCCTAACTTATATATATTACCTACTTATATATAACGTAATAATAATAATCTCGCAATGCAGTTCTTCTACCGTAAAAATCTTCAAGTCTGTTAGCTTGTTCAATTCCTACTTATTATGTTATTACGTAATTAGCTAACCTAACAAAAACTTATAGTGACCATATCAATATTTCAAATCTTTTGTTTAAAATAAATACTTTGACTGGGCTATCGCACGGAAAACAATGTAAGTACCTACCCAAGTAAGGTATGTTATATTAAATTAGATTGTTTAGTGGCTTCTAATTTTATCGAAGTTACCGGAGGCCAAAAATGACCAGAACAGCTTCGAGAAAACATAGCGGCAGTGCCGCTTTTTTGCTTGATTTTCTGCGGGCGCACTGTCGTACCCCAAAACAAGTAATAAAATATGGGTATGGCAATAATTTTAAAGCGAATATTTGACAAATTATTGTTATGAGAAAAATTGACTTTTTTTATTATAGGTGCAATTATAAATATATTGAATAATGTAAGTAAGCCGTGTGATAAAAAACGTTTTTTTATAGAATAAGGAAATCGGTTGGCAAATAGAATAATTTATGTTGAATATAGATAATATACTTTAATTATTATATAATGGTTCTAGGTTATTTTTTCTGTGATAAATCGTAGAAAGGATATTGTAATGTTTTTAATCCATGAATGTCATGTATTTCTAGTTACAATCAATTAATCTATATATATAAAAATGAAACCCGTTTTCCATTGTCACGACATAACATGAAAACGGCTTGACCGATTTGTCTGATTTTTTTTATAATATTTCTTGAAGTACGAGGATGGTTCTTACGGAGAGAAAAATTACAAAAAAAATGAGTAAAAAAGTCTAAAAACAACTTTTCTATATTCCCATACAAAATATTCGTAATAATACTTAAAAGTCATTTTGAACTTTAATACCATATCATAGAGTTCAAGTGTTAGTGGAGGGGTTCCGGGAAGGTAAATTTTTATTTTTGACATAATGTATTTGTTGTCTTATCATCTTTCTTTTTTTATCTTACTAGCTAGACTGGTGTCCCGAATAGCAGAATAAGTATTTAAAAAAAATAAAGAATAGACTGTTAGGCGGTACGATGTTCGCCAGGCCAGCTAGTCCTTTATATATTTTAAAGTTAAGAAAACATTTTTAAAAAGGACTTGAAAACATGCTGTAATTTTTAAAGGTTTGTATATTGTAAATAAATAAAAGAAATACTCTTTGCCTAATTTGAAAAAGAATAATATTAGGTTTACCATTATTTCTAAAGAACATCTCGACGGTATTTGTATTTAGACTAGTATTTTTTAATAGAACGAAATGCGTAGAAATTTATATCGTCAATCATGTATGTGAAATATCATATGTATGTTAAAGTTTAATTAGATTAAGCACTAAATATATAAGCGCAATTCAAGTAACTAATGAATATCATGCAATATACATTTTGAAACTGTTACTATCAGATATTTTCTCTTGATAATACGGAAGTTGCGGATTACAACTATTGTTAAGTTCTTTAGTTTCACAATAGTTAATGCATTATGTTATCTGTGACAATTTAATTTTAACCCTTACAACACACTTTTAGATAGTTAATTGGTTTAAAGTCATAATTACTATACTATGGCCACAACGCTTATTTGGTTACGGCCATGTTACGGCCTCCACTTCTTCGTTTCCTACGCTATTAATTAATCTTAAGGATGATGAGCGAAAAGTAGAATATATTGAGAAATCCCTGATATCGTGTATAAAATATACATTTTACTTGTGAAGACAACGAACCCATAAATGTTTTAATCTGGTTTATGTGTTATAAATATACTGAAATATTTTGAGGCGTTCTGGTTATACTAATAAAATACACCCTTTTTGGGTTGAATGAACTGAGGATAAGGCATTTACTCATAACAAAATCAATATAGTCCATTGAAAAGTTACATTTGGGGTTGCGTTTTTTAGAGGACGCAATTTTATTTATGGAACATGTAGGGGGGGTCAATACAAGCTTAACTCCAAGTTTGTGGGGTTGGCGTGCTTGTACCCCGGCCGCCATCTTGGATAAAGGGGTCCAAAAACCACGTTTTTGGCTATATCTCCTAAACTATCAATCGTACATAAAACTTGTAAAGACACATTTTGTAGCAAATCGCTGTGTCTACGATTATGTCTATGTAACTTTTTATCATAAATCCAAAATTCAAAAAGTTATAAGTAAAAAAGTGAAAATATTTCCTATTTCTAAAGTTGACTAGGTGCGTCAATGCTCATGACAAGCCGATCAAAACAGCAGTTTTACCTTACTTTTAAGATCTCTCGTTTATTTTAAACAAATTTTCTAAATCATTTTTTGACGTGACAACGTCTTATAATTCGATGGAGCCGGCTGCACGCACGAAAAAACATGACTCATGCGGCGTTACCTCGCTCTGAGGCGTTACCTGGCTCTGAGGCGTTACCTCGCTCTGAGGCGTTACCTGGCTCTGAGGCGTTACCTCGCTCTGAGGCGTCACATTTAAAATTAACATGATTGTATTTATGCGTTTAAATAAATGTAACTTAATCAATTCAATTGTGATTTCCATTTACCTCCTTCTGTATATCCATACAAAATATCTATCAAACAAATAAAATTAAAATTTTCTTTTGAAAAATGCAACCATTCCATCAGTATTTTCTTATGACTAGGAATGTGAAAAAATAATCGATTATTAATTAAAATTAATTAAAGAAAAATTCGATTTTTTACGCGATTTTTATATTTAAAATAATCGATTAATAATCGATTATTTTTATAATTGAAAATCAATCATAGTCGATTTTTTATCTGCCACCTCCCGGACCTCAAACTATTAGGGATATTCGATATACAACGATGTTTACAATGCGATACATTGAATCCGAAGTCGATCGAGTATACATCTATGAAGATGTATACTCGATGCATTGATGTTTTTTTGTAAAACATCGAAAGGATGATAAAACCTGTTAATTTTACAAGAACTCAAGTTTGAATGGAACACTATAATTTAAAAGTAAAATCAATTTATTCAGCAGCACAAGACTACATACAATTAAAAAGACAACAAAAATACTGCAATGTGCTACTGAAAAGGCACTCAGCATTTATCAAATTTCACGTACAATCTATCAAAACGAGACTTAGAGAAAAGTTACGAGAGATTTAATTTCGATTTTGATTATTCTTAAACGTTAATTTGTGTTCATAAATACTATTTTTTATTTTTTATTAAAAAAAACCATGAAAAATAAAATATTTAGGGTGTTTATTTTGAAATTAATTCAAAAATTATGAAAAAGTCGATTAATTAAAAAAGTCGATTATTTTTTTAGCATGAAAAATCGATTAATAAAAATGCATTCTTCATGCAGAACACATGTCACATCCCTACTTATGACGTTGTCACGTTCGACTATCGTCTGTAAACCGACTTTACAGACAAGCGATTTTTTTATTTTTTTTATTCCTACAATTTTACTTATTGGTATTCCTAGTAGGCCTATTCCACAGACAACTTGCTGATATGGTAATCTTCGACATAATTAAAGAGACGACATAAAGAGACATAATTGTAGACACAGCGATTTGCTACAAAATGTGTCATTACAAGTTTTATGTACGATGGATAGTTTAGGAGATATAGCCAAAAACTTGGTTTTTGGACCCCTTTTCCAAGATGGCGGCCGGGGGACAAGCACGCCAACCCCACAAACTTGAGGTTAAGCTTGTATTGACCGCCCCTACAGTTCCCATAAATAACATTGCGTCCTCTAACAAATGTTAAGTTTGGCCCTCAAATTGTAACATTTCAATGGACTATCGGAGCGCTGTAAAACCTTAGCTATTAACTTAATGAAAAAATGATGCAAATAAAAGTTGTTCCCCAAAAAACGATCTACAAAAAAGGTCTGATATTATTTTTTCGTAAAATGATAAAAAAAAAGTTATATCGAAAAATATAAATTTTTTTCTCGAATTTCTGAAGATTTTCGCTTATAACTTTTTTATTTATAGTTTTACGATAAAAAGTTACTGGACCAAAGTTGTAGAGAATTTAATTTGCAACAAAAAATGTTAACAAATTTTTTTATCAAATAAATAGTTTAAGAGATATATCATAAAAACCGTTTCAACCACTATTTTCAAGATGGCGGCCGTGGGACAAGGGTGGCGACCCCACAAACTTGGTTTTAGCTTTACACTGACCCCCCCCTACACATCAAAAAAATAAAATTGCGTCCTCTAAAAAACGCAAGGTTAGGCCTAAAAAATGTAACATTTCAATGGACTAATAGGATATGTTTATCATTAAAGGATAAAATGAGAGGTATATTACGCAAGCGCTAAAACTTTGTCAAACTCATGGTACAGACTTGAGATTCATCACCAGACTAATGATTTTTTTATAAAACTTACCTAGCTGCCCTTGTAGGTAGAACGGTGGACCACATTGGCGGCAGAGTTGTGCGCTGAGTAGCCACTCCTGATGATGGACTACCCACCATTAGCTCTCCGTCGTCACCGAATCTGAAAATAGTATGAAACAATAAAGAATCTATAGTCGTCAACCAAGAGTGAGACGGCTAAATTGAGCTTCTAAAATAATACAATTTTAGTTGATTGAAAAGAAGATTCTCATTTCGAAGACACTTTTTGGGTCGCAGAGCCAGCGAAGTTGAGTTGAAAAAAACAATGACTTCTATCGATACCGTGATGGTGTAATTCCACATTTATACTAAGAGGTATTTAATATTTTGTTTTTAACAATGTCAACAATTCCCAAAGTATAAACAACTCGTATTTAACGAAATGAAGCTTTTAAAGTAAGGACTGGCTAAACTATTCTCGACTGTAAAGGAAGTAGGATAAAAATAAATTAGTGGCGCTACAACCTTTTTAGGCCTGGGCCTCAGATTTCTATATCTGTAACCTGTAAACACAAAGCAAAAAAAATTGTATCATATGACCTAGACATTGTAACATTCGCGTGAGTATATAATTTGGAGACACTCCATCTCAATTGACAGCATCATAAAATAATCGCATATACTTAATTTATTTATTGAGTCTTATAATGAACCAGAGATAACATATTAATTTTAGGAAACAGAAAGCTAAGGTACGCATATGCTACGCGTACGTACGTGATAATTTTTAAATCTAAGAGCTGATTTACACAGGGTCAGTAACTGACTAAAAATTCGAGGCAAGTCAGTGCTGACCCGAAAAAAACCCTGTGTAAACTGATTTGAAGTCAGTACAGTGGCTTGAAGTCAGCGCTGACTTGAATATTCGGACACGAATATTTTAAAGTCAGTTGGCGCCCCCCGCCACCCGCGCACCCCCGCGCCAGCCAAATAAACCCCGTGTAAACAGACAAGTCAGTGCGTGGTTAGTCACTGCCGCTGCGTTGTAGAGTGACCACGTTTTTTTCGCTGGCGATAAAAATGAAGCTTAGCGAAGACGAAACCTTAAAATTGGTGCAATTATATGGCGAAAACGAGTGCCCTTGGGATATTAAATCCCTAAATTACCGCAATAAAGAAATGCGGTCAACAGCGTTGCAAAATATGGCTCAACAAATGCAAATCGAAGGGCTCACTTCTACTGAAGTAAAAAATAAAATTAAAGCCATAAGGGCTACATAGTACATATTATTAGAGCTCGACAAGATACAGAAATCCACCAGATCTGGCGCTAGTGGGAACGTATATGTCCCAAAAGTCAAGTGGTTTCAAGAACTGGACGGCTTTATAAAAAATGCTATTGTAAATAAATAAATAAATTTTTCCACAAATAATTAAATCGTAGTTTCAGTTGTTTTCGCGAATTCATTTTTCCACTGACTTCACACACGTGTGCTCATCGTGAGAAACGCACCACTACTACGTACTTCATGTAAACAGTTAAAGTCAGTCGCGGCGCCGACATTGGCGCTGCGACTGACTTGTCTACTTACTCTGTGTAAATCAGCCATAATAGGCAAGTAGGTGATCAGCCTCCTGTGCCTGACACACGCTGTCGACTTTTGGGTCTAAGACATGGGTGTCCTCAATATGTTCTCCATATGAACGAATGTTAAATGCCCACATTAAAAGAAAATCCATTAGTGCACAGCCGGGGGATCGAACCTACGACCCTAAGGGATGAGAGTCGCACGGTAAAGCTACAAGGCCAACGCTGCTCAAAAGGAAGTAGAAACTGACGTAGAAATATGTTCACTCTATTCTCCAAGTACTATAGGTCTCAAACAGAAGTCCCTCGTATGTATTGATTTTTATATAAAAACAATAGTAAACAAAAGGCCGTGAGAATAAATAACTAATTAGTGAATTTTCTCAATTGTTAGACACTGAATCTTATTTTGTTAGTTTCACTTGGTAAATGAGTTAAGCTGCGTATAAATTAAGCGCGGCAAACCATCGAACATTGGCGCGCGCGGCGGCCGCGCTCTATGTAGACGGGATCGCCTACATACGAGCGCGGCGACTCGAATATTGCCGCGCTCGAACGTGCCGCGGGTCGATCCGCTCGCTGTCGGTTTTTGAGACCGCATCAAAGGAGCTACAGTCGTTGGCTCGCGCGCAGTTGGGACGGTTATAGTTTTGGTGATTTGGCTCGCGCGGCGAATACGTAAAAAAGGGTGCGTACATATACAGTTGTACATATATAAAGTTGGATTTAAATTTAAATTTAAGCTATAACTTATAAAGTAACTAATATAACAATTATATATTAATTACATACAAAAAATGGGTGCGTGTACTTATGTACGCGCGTAAGAAGTTATACTTCTCTGGCATTATTAAAAATAGTTTTTGATTGCTTGCAAATAATTGATTACATACAATTAAATAATCAAAGACTGGAAAAGGAGTCAATAAAGTTCAGTTTACATTTGAAAAATTAAATAAATAAATATTTATTTTTCTTTTATTTTTTTTACAAATAAGATGGTGAATCACAATGAAAGCGGCAGCCGCCCGACCACGCGCGTCCATACTGGCAGGTTTACAAGAGTGAACTGGTCTGACTATCCGCCGCGGTCTGTTCGTGATGGATCGCCTGCCGCGCGCGGCAGTCACGTCCAACTAAATTTATATCTACATATTGGCTCGCGCGGCAAATGAACGTCAACTCTGGTCGAACATTGGCTCGCGCGGCTGCCGCGCTTAATTTATACGCAGCTTTATAGTAGTAATGCCTGTCTGAAAATCAAGCCAAGTAGAATTGTTTTTATTGGAGTGTACACAAAAATATTATATTTAGGGAAAGCCTCAATGGTGGTATATTATAACGTATAACATGATAGTATAAAATCGTACATATCCCTGATTGTAAATATAAATTGCGTATTTTAATTACCACTAAAGTAATGAATTTGGACGAGTAAGTTGTTGATAAATATATAGCAAGGAAAAACAGGAAATTAATCCAATCTGACCAATTATAATCATTCGAATCATTATGAAGTTGATTTGAGAACTGGCAGTAAATGTAAAATTAGAAGCATTAATATTTATTTCTTTAATGACGAATCACAAGTGTACATACCTACGTGAATAAATGATTTTTGAATTTGAATTTGAATTTGATTTACGTAATCACAGTTTTTTAATTTTTAGAAGAGACAAACTCTGGATGCTATACGGTACTATCACTTAACATATGAAATGATTTCGAAAAAGTTAAAATGACAATAAAAATTAAATTGTTCGTATAAATAAATTTATGTTTCTGTTTATTCCTTTACCTGTTTGTTTCTTTAAAAACTTTAATTTGCCTCAGAGATACAAGATTATAGTTGAACTGTACAATTATATTTTCAAAGTATAAAAATTCAGTCTGCTTCGTACATGTTTTGACGCAAATATGTTTAATTTTTGTCTTGTAATGTACAGTGCCACATACTTCTCTTGGCAGGAGCTGAAAATGGTACTACCGTCGCCATTTTGGGGCGTACAATAAATAATTTTAATATCTACCAACATCTAATAAAAATCCAACTAAAATGTATTTATTTGTATTCCTTGCATTATTAATTACAATGGCAAAGTTTTAATTATCGAACGGTTCTGATTGATATCTTAAAAGATATTATGTATATTAATAGTACAGGTAACAAAACGTATTATATCAGTTATTCCTAAGTTTGTGTCACATTTATTTAAGCCTAGAACTGTATTTTCTAGATACTAGTATACATTGTTTTATTAAGACATGACATTACATGACATTTAACATGACTTCAAATTATTCCTATACATAATATCTTAACATTCAAAATACAGATATAATTATAAAATCAATTTAAAATCATAAACAATTTAAACGTTTTCCTTAGTTTTTGCTACGAATTGTATGCAAATATTTTAATCCGTACAGCTATTTATTGGATATTATAAATTGATTACTAATTGATGCCGCCACACTGGAGCCAAAATATAGACAGATTATTAGTGTTTATAAAAAATATATATATTTTTCAAGCATACACAATTTAAAATAGGTATGTTTTTTAGCTGTCAATAGTTTAGTCATACCGATATATAAATAGGGATATATCTTATATTTATATATCTATAAGAGATAGGGAAGAGAGAACACACTTTTATTAATCAACGAAGCAAATTCATATCACTGGTGAAGATAACAGCCACTTTATAATTGCGAAAATTTAGTAATTTTATTCCCTGCTTTTGGGCTCGTGGAACAAGAGAGCTGTTGTTCGAATCTGTTTCGACAAACAGTGTTCACTGAAGTGATTAGGATAGCTCAAATTTTTTAAAAACAATTGTTTTTTATACTGGAATATTTTAGAAGGGTTATTAAGTACCTGTTGAGTAGAAGTGGTCTAGGCGGAGTTGGTGCTGTGACGGAATCTTGTGACGTCACTGGAGGAGATGTGGGAGGTGCTGGCGGCGGCGAGGCGGACGGTATCTCGACGCCTGAAAGATTATACGGTGGGTGAGATTGTATAGTATGAGCTCATCTGAAAATTTCTATACATAAAATATTAATTACATTTCTGCTGACTCAGGTTGAATGTGTAGAAATGTAACTATACCTTCAGGTCGTAACTCCGACTGTGAAAGAAATGCTGAGCGGGTAGAAGAGGAATGTACAGCCAGCTTTCATTCAAATCGCAAGAGTTATAATGTTGAAGTCTATGATTAGACCAATATTGCGATGTCACTTAGTAAATAAATTCAATTTTAACTCTTTTTTAAAACTCCTAAATGCATTTTTGGTATGCTTATCTCTTTCTCTTTAATCTGCAGCTCATGTCTGAGTTTCGTGGTCAGCAAGAAAGCATCTGGAGCGGACTATCTGTTTCCACCGGTTTCTGACCACGCCTCTCTTATGACAGTGTACAGTTTTGAGGACGATGAGTCTTTCACTTGATCGGTCCATCTGGTTATTGGCCACGTGATCTTTTGCCTTCTGTTACCAACCACGATCAGTTTCGCCAAGTTCTCATCGCCTCTGCGCATTGAATGTTTATAATACTAAGTTAAAATTTAAACAATTTATCATTCGGTCAATAATGTCGATTTTTTCGAGTTTTATTACACAAGTGTTTTTGTACCAGGCAATTTAACGCAAATTATTTAGTATTTTTTGTTCAATGCATACGTCTGTTAATATTCTTAATTGAGCCAATCTATTGTAATTTAGACGATCCAAATATAGTAGAAACTCAAAAGAATATGCTTGACGTTGAATTTGTTTGTAATATAGACGCAAATTTAATTTCAATAACTTCGCTGCGTTATTAACGTAATAAAATATATATATATACGCTTTTTCAATATACTTAACGCTGGTAACATTTGATGGCATCAACTTCTAGTCTATTTAGAGTACTAAGCCTTCATAATGAGGTTAATATCTTTCCTATATCACCTCAGCGTCCGTCGTTCCAACACTGAGCGCTTTTTAGGCAGATGTTGACGCGCACCACCACTATGTGGAACCAGCTGCCCACCGATGTATTTCCGAACCAATTCAACTTAGGGTCCTTCAAGAAAAGAGAGTACGAAACTTTTTTAAAAGGCTGGCAACGCACATGCGAGGCGACTGGCAATGTGAGTGTCTATGTGCGGCAGTATTGCTTAATATCAGCTGAGCCTCCTGCCCAATTGCTCCTGTTACATTATCAAAAAATATATATGTTTATGTATATCATGTAATATGTAAAACTTAAGACCCAAGCATTTAATTTTCGATGATTAAACCGTGCCATATAGCTTTATAAATGAAACTCAAAACGTAATTATTACCATAACAAAGTTTGTAAACATACTCTAATCGTGTTTCTCGTGGAAATAACAATGTAATTACAAAAAATATGTTTTTAATTTTTAAGTGATTACGAAAATATTTTGTTGATTTTTTTCTATAAAAAATCTTAGGTCTTATTAAGGTAAAACCTTCAAAGAACCTTAATAATTCCGGGTAATTGTTTCCCAAATTGGTAATTATTTTTCTAGGCCATATACTACTATATATCGTCACTGTAGAATGATAACCTCGTAAGTCAAAAAACCATTTATTTTTTATTCTTAGACTCTTATGTCATTTAACTAGGACTTATTTATGTTATTAATAAGTAAGTCCTTTTTACCATCCAAAACAATAGACAAAAACACAATATAATAATATTTTAACGAATATTGACGAAATTATACATTTTTTTCCTTTTCTGTAATGTTTGGTTCTCTGGACATACGAGGTTATCATTCTACAGCGACGATATGTCACATCTAAGATAAGACTATGTTTTATGACAACTTACTCAACATTATATAACACGACATTATTCTGGAAATAGTTTACTACTTACTGCCATTAGGGATAGCATTAAATTGTTCGTTTGCCAGATACACTTCGAAATATCTGGTGAAATCTCCTGTCGGATCCCATTTTGAAGCTAATTTCGCCCATTCTTCAGGATACTCGTATTTCAGCCGCTTGATAATCTTCACAGCTGTCTTCTTCTGTCTCTCCGAGCACCTGACGCATTTCGTCCTTAATGCTTCTGGAAGGAGCCCTGAAAAATAAGTTTAAAACTATATCAATAATTATATATACAGGTTTTATAAATCACTCTTGGTAATTAAGATTTTAAATCATTTTTCTAAGTTCTAAATCAACTAAGGATTCTTTTATAATCGACCTGACATGATGTCGATATAATGTTTGAATGTATCAAATTAATTGATGGTAGGATAAAATATATGATCCGGAATCAATTACGCTTGATAGACATAGAAGATTTGATGAAATTTTACATGATGATTAAGGAAATGCCAAAACACGATAAAGTTACAATTTTGATGATTTTCTACGAAATATTGACACACGGCCAAGTTGTGAGGGATTTAGAGCTGCACACATGGAGAGAAGAAAGAGTGTATAAATTGTCTGTTTATTCATAGCTACTAAACGACGGGTATAATGCATGGTGGGACTTGGTGCCAACAGCCTCCCGTATCTCAAAATTCATCACTTTTGAATTCACAATCCACATCCGACTTGGCATTAACCTTTGAGAGTCGACATTGAATTAGCGTTAAAGCGTGTGACTGATATGTCTAAAAACGTAATCAAAAAATTTAATAATTAGTCTTAATGAGATATGGTTTTTTGGTAGAATAGGAGGCTGATTTGGTATGCAGTTTAATTAAAATTAAATGTATACAGTCTAATTGCAACTTAAAAAATCATATACATAATTCCATAATTAATGGCCGAAACTGACATTATAAAAATAACATTATACTTTATTATAACTGGTTTCAAATACCAGCGAATAACAACTGAGTTATAAATTTAATAATCGTCATAATGAATTCAATCATAATTTGCTTCTTGATGAGTTTTTTAAATTTTATGTGATTTGTCAAAGTCATCATCTGGAAGCGTTCGTTAAAACTTACATAGATTGTGTTTTGGTTTTGGTGAAACATTGATATTTCAAGTAACCAGGCCTGTAGCTATTGTAAATAATAATCTGAGAACGAATAGCTATGAAATTGATTGTAAAAGGAATTATTGTATAAGAAAGAATTATAAATGTGGAAAGGAAGGTGTAAAGGAAGGAATTAAGGAAATTATTGTATAAAATGTAAATGTATATGCAACGGAACAATCCAAAAGATATTAACTTGAAAAGAAAGGATCTAAAGCAAAAGAAAGAACAGGACGAGAAAAGTGGAAAAATCGCCTTTATAAGGTATGATAAGGTGATAGTAAAGGAGAAGGGAGTCTAAAAGGAAACGATCATAATCAAAATAACAATCTGGATATAAACTTCAACACAAGGATGACATAACGACTCCCAAGAAAATAAACAAAACCTATAATATATTTCGCTCCAGAGCAAATTCAACCTGGAGAATCTAGCCACTAAAAAAGGAAACACATCATACTGGAAAACAAAATACCAATTTGAAAATAATTGTAATTACCCCCTTAACAAAATACTCCCCAATCCTGGTCTGGCTGGTCCCCGTGGGCCAATCGACCGTTTATATGAAAACGATGAACAGGACGATAATAAAAATAAAAAAAAGCGCTCCACGTCACAACAATTATCCATTTTCAACGCAAGATCACCAAAACAAGACAATTATTCAGAACAATGCAATGAGAAAAATCGGAAAAAAAGAAAAATCGAAAAATATGGAGGAGGCGTTTACCCTAAAAGGGGCCTACACACTAGACACATACTGAAATTTGTACAACTAATACTCATCATATGAATAATTGTTAACTAACCAATTTTTAATAAAGCTCTAATAATAATAATAAAAGAGAACTTATTTTTCGCTATAGGCGTAGTAATTTTATTGATATGATGATATCAATGAATGAATTATAACACCATTTTGATTTCAATTCTATTCAATAGATAGTAGATACTACTGATTTGATGAAAATGAAAATGAAAATGAAAAAATATTTATTCAATCACTTACAATGGTAACAACATGTGGCTGGAGCCTCCATTTAAGTATGTATAATATACTTGTGTTTGGAGTATCCGCTCTTCCTAGGTACACTTAATTAGGTATGTAAGTTTAGACAAAAGGGAATAATATTACAAAAACAAAACAATATTTATACAAGTTAAAAGATGCATCGTGTATGAGTGATAAATTGAGGGGTGTTCGTTGTATTCAGTTAAGTGTATGTTGATGTGTGAGAGTGTAAGTGTGTGTGAGTGAGTGTGTATGAGGTATGTGTGTATATGTCTGTATCATATGTTTGAGTGTGTGTGTTCTTTTAGAGTGTAAGATAAAAGTAGACTTTAGAATAGTAATTCTTAGATAATAGATTCAACTTCTTCATAGGTTAGAGTTTTTAACCAACAATTTATAGTTATTTTACATTTATATTTATTCATATTATATAGATTTAATTCCTTGTTTAATTTATTATATAAGTTAGCAGACTGGTAGCAGTACTGTCTATGAGCATATTTAGTTTTAAAAGTTGGTAAAGGTGCCACATTATGCCTTCTACGTCTGTTCAAAATACTAGGATCATATCCAATATGTCGATGGGTTCTAAGAGTAGTTTGCAGTACATACAACTTACGTACTGACAGAAGATCGCTAACCGCATATAACATTTCCGTAGGGAATCTGTATGGCTTAAAATGGATAACTTTGAGTAGTGACCTTTGTGCTCTCTCCAGTTCCAGGAATTTTGTTTTAATGGCACCACCCCAGGCCGGAATGCAGTATATTAATATTGACTGCGCAAGAGCAGTATAAATTTGTTTTAGGAGGGCCGAGTCAGCTACGTGTCTTAGATTTTTAAATAACCATATGAGTTTTCTTACTCTAGCCATAACTAGCTCTATATGATCGCGCCATGATAGGCGTTGGTCTACCATAGTACCCAGGTATCTTACGCAGTTTTGCCGCTTAATAAAATCGCATGAGCATATTATAGAATGAGGTGAGCCACAAGTATGTATTTGAATAGCAAACGTCGGAGGTGGTTGAGAGGAGTTATAATTGGAGAAGCATACATTTGATGCACCGCAACAATGCCCTAAGTACAAGGCGTGTTATACGATATATTAATGAAAACTTACCTTAGCACAGTAACTTTCCGTTTGTAAAAAGCGTATTGGATACCATAGATACTACTTTACAAGAAATAAAAACAAATGAAATGAATGTCAGTCAAAACATATTTTCTTGTTATTAATGCATGGGTTTCTTCACGTAATATAATTTTTAAACAACGTTACAGAAGAAAGACATTAGATTTTTCATATTGTTTTTAAGTCTCACTCATGATAGAGCCATTTGCGTGACCTACTTGAATGCGTTTAAGTACATTCTATATAATATAGCGCTTATCGCGATTAACACTTGTAATATTTATAAAAACATGTAATTCTCCTGCAATCTTGTTCTTAATGAAGCTGTGGTAATATTGCATACTATTTTTACTAGTGAGTATTGTTACTGGAAGCCGCGTGGGATGGCTTTTTATGTAAGGTCATTGACTTTTATTGCTGCTGGAGGACTAGAATGTTTACTTGTATCCCCTCATGTACCCGACCCAGTTTGTTCTGGGTATGGTGGGTTATGACCAGCTACGCCTCAGAAGAGCGCTTGCTTGGTCAGTGTTCATTTAGGATACTTACGGGTCGCGTTCTTAATCTGGATATAATGGAGATATTCGCTCTACGGGTACCAAGTAGAAACCTGAGGCGGAAGTCTCAACTTTTGGATGTACCGCGCGCACATTCCAACTTGGTTAGCGAAGCGCCACTCATGGAAGCAATACATATAATAAACAGAATTTCTATCGCGGTAGACCTATTTGTTTGTACACTGGCTGAGTTCACAAGAGTTATATTATTACTTATAAGATCTAGGTATATTATATTAATATTAATTAATATTAAAAAAAAAAATTAATGTAACATAATCGGTGTAGGTAATATTGTGTCGTTCTATCGCATTAGTAGTAGCTCTTAAGATAGAATAATGATGTGGAAATAAATTAATAAATAAATACTTTTTCTAAGGTAGACTAATGGTAAGATCTCATTCCTCTACCTAAGGATTGAAACCTCCATTGTGTTAACGGTATTTTAGTATGGTAAGGTTTTTGAATACTTTAATGGGCAGAAGAATCAGGGCGATTCAACGCCAAGACTTTGTATTTGTCACATTCAGAGTATAGCTGTTATATTACGAGAAGTAAATTATGCTTCTACAGACAGATTTGTTTGATGCAAAATATTTAATTAAGATACACCGACATTATGTCCTCTACCTTTCTGCGTATATTTTATTTTTAAACATTATTTTTAGACGAGTAATACATAACTGTTATGGAGTTTCATCAGAGGTACGTTTTGTGCCACTTGCAAAACAAAACATCTTGGGAATCCAGTGCATCCGTGACAATGTAAAAATTTAAGCATTTTTGTACGGTAGACTGATTTTTCTACTCGGTCGTGCGGTGAAGAAAAACATCGTAAGGAAACCAAAACGTCTACGGCGTGTGTGACGCCTGATCACCAACTTGCCTATTTGAAAAAACAAATAATCACGAAACATACACAGAAGTGTGATGCCAAGACCAGGGATTGTAGACCTACTTTTTTCATATGTCTCTAGTGGTGGGGTTTGAAATTCTTTTCACAGTGGTGGATTAGACGCGATTTTATCCGATACTTTATGAGATACTTTTTTAGGAATTACAAATATGATTGCATAGAACGAGAGCGATCCTAAACGAACATCACTTTACTGATAGTTTCAATTCAATTACAGGTATTATCAAAATTACTAAACTAAACATTATTAAACACTATGGGAACATTTTCTCTACACACACCGTGAGAAAACCGTTTTAAGCTATTTTCCCATTAGGACACATTAATACACAAAACACTACATGACTTTCCATTTCCAGAATGGTATTTCGTAAACAATGTACAAATAACATTAAAATCATGTTACGTCGTTGCATTGGTATTCTGAAGATGTATGCTGTGAATAAAATAATAGTTAAGCGAGCGACATCGAATTTTAACAATTTCCTTGTTGAATAGGCTAATCAGGGTATATAAACATACATAAATGATTATCGCCTCGTGTATGAGTGCACAATAAGGCTTAAAACGCGGCGCAGGGCATATAATAAAAACCAAAAATATTATTGTTATAAATTCGATTCTGATCCATTCGTAGTAGAAACTTTTACAAGGGTGCTGGAGCTAGTAAAAACCTTAAGTAGACTTCTACTCTATATTTTTTTAACAGGAGGCCAACGGGTAGTAGTTTCACCTGATGTTAAGTGATACCATGGACACTTGCTAAAAGGCAGTTAACTGCGTTAAGAATTGGTACGCTCTTTTTTTGAAGGACCCAAAACATTGCTATTTAATTTGAAGCAATTAACTCTTTAATTCGCTTCACAGGAAT